ATAGTTTGAATACCTACTTTGGTGGCAGAGGAGGCAGCTCCAGGGTAGTCCTCAGACCATAACTACTACAGTGAGCTCTAGTGGTTATAGTGCTTGGAGTGTTCCATTAAAACTGCAGGGGTTACCTGCATACAACATTTCACAACTAATACCTTCACCACACAGTAATATATATACATTGTGGTAGCATTAGATTACATTTTCTCAGTGCTCTTACAATATTCTAATAAAGCTTTTGTGATCAAAAATGACTTGTGCAGAAATCAGGAGAGCAGAGGGGTGTGCCAAAGTCTAGCTTTCACTTAAAGGGACACTATAGGCACCCAGACCACTCCAGCTCATTGAAGTGGTCTGAGTGCATATTCCCAGGTCCATTAACCCTGCAATAGCAATTATTGCAGTTATTATTATTTATAAAATATTTTACCAGGAAAGATACATTGAGATTTCTCTCATTTTCAAGTATGTCCTGGGAGTTACTGAGAAACTGTAATAATTACCTGCCAGGGTTAACTTCACCTCTAGTAGCTGTGAGGGACAACCGGATCGTTAGGTAACTTTTGGTTGCCTAATGGACGCTGGACGTCCGCATGCATGTCCGAGGCACCCGGAAACCCGTAAAAACGCAGTGTATAATGGGGGCAGATGCGGAGACATAGCCCAAGCCAGCACCAAGGTACTACAGCGCTGGACTCAGGTAAGTGACTTAAGGTTTTTTTTATTATTTTAACCCTTTCTGCACCACAGGTAGGAATTGGGACACTATAGTGCCAGGAAAACAAATTTGTTTTCCTGGCACTATAGATTCCTTTTAATGACTTGTATATAACCATTTACAATTAATTTATTCCTAGGGGGTGCACAATACTCAGAGCTGTGAAGAGCCTTTATTGTTAGCTTAATTCAACAGGGGATTTAATACCATATGTTCCACTTCTCACATGTATGTTAATTATTCTTGGGAATACAGTTTACATCAGACGATACGGCATGAAAAGGGGTAACAGTTATCCATTTAGGGGAAAGGTAGTTATTTTCAACCTGACATCAGGATCAGATAACCATCTGCCTTTCTCTATGTAAGAAAAGTAAACTGAGACTTTAAGTACCTGTACATCGAAGACTAGTTTTTCTCCAAGAATCTTTGCAATGGTTTCTCAGAAGACAATCAGTGTTATTCAATAATGAGAGAATTCAAAGTGAATTCAGAATTTAAGGCCAGAGTAGCTGATCTGAAAGAATAGCTGATTTAGAGAAGGTTTCCAGTTCGGCTATTTTGACCTTACACTGAAATACACCTTGAATTTACAATTTAATGGATAACCCTGACAGTCCACCTTTTGATTCCCCCTTGTGTTATTTTTTATCCCTGTTGATTCTATTTATATAGTGCATAGGAGAACCTGTCAGCAGTTTGTTACTTTAAATGCTTTCAATGTAGTTTAACCTGTAGCCTAAATCATGTAAAAGCGGTGACATTTCGAAGGTCACCATTTACCTTTATATTAGAATCACCTGCTTTTTCTAGTTTGTTTATAATGTTGAACATTCCCACAATCCATAGTGCTCAAATGTGCCTTACCAACGCAGAGACATGAAAGCAATGTTTAGATAGGTATCGTTCTATCTGTACATGGGTTGGCATGTCAAAAACAGCATGTAAAAGAGCACGGACGACAAAAAGTGGTGCTATTCTGGGGCACAGAGCTAAATAAGCCACAATCACCCTGGAAACCAGTGGAATTTATCTCAACAATATGCACCTTGCCATTAGAATAGCACTTGTTTTTAAAAATAACCTCCATTATCTACACGTTTCCTCGTGATTTGGGCTCTTCTTCTGACGTTACAAAGAGAACCTATACACTTTGTTTATCAGATCGACCCTAGCCATGAAATCAGTACATCAAGATAAACGAACAGAAGAAAAAACGTTTTGACTATTTGTAGGCTAGCACGATGTAGGTTTCATTATTTTACTAATAAATGTTGACTATGCAGATTTATCAAGGCAAACCAAGGTTCATGGATTGCAGGATAAAACTTACCAGGAAAGGTTAAAGGATCTTCACATGTATAGCTTGGAGGAAAGACGAGACAGGGGGATATGATAGAAAACATTTAAATAAATAAAGGGAATCAACACAGTAAAGGAGGAGACTATATTTAAAAGAAGAAAAACTACCACAACAAGAGGACATAGTCCTAAATTAGGGGGGCAAAGGTTTAAAAATAATATCAGTTAGTATTACTTTACTCAGAGGGTAGTAAATGCATTATTATTATATTTATATAGCGCCATCAAATTCCGCAGCGCTTTACAATGGGTGGACGAACAGACATGTAGTTGTAACCAGACAAGTTGGACACACAGGAACAGAGGGGTTGAGGGCCCTGCTCAGTGAGTTTACATGCTAGAGGGAGTGGGGTAATGTGACACAAAAAGGTAAGGATAGTATTAGACTAGTGACAGTTGCAGAAGAGGAAGCTATTAACAGTTTAATTGATACACTTTTATGAAGAAGTGGGTTTTTAACGATTTTTTGAAGGCGTGGATACTGGGTAAGCATCTAACGGAGGAGGGAAGCGAGTTCCACAGGAACGGTGCAGCCCTCGAGAAATCTTAAGGCGAGCATCAGAGGTGGGAATACGGACAGAAGATAGACGTAAGTCTTCAGCAGATCGTAAGGGACGTACTTGTGTATAAGAATGGAATTGTGCATGGAATAGCCTTCCAGCTGAAGTGGTAGAGGTTAACACAGTAAAGGAGTTTAAGCATGCGTGGGATAGACATAAGGCTATCCGAACTATAAGATAAGGCCAGGGACTACTGAAAGTATTTAGAAAATTAGGCAGACTAGCTGGGCCGAATGGTACTTATCTGCGGTCACATTCTATAAGTGCTATTCTGAGTTAAAGAGCAAAATAATATTACAGTATTTTCGTTTTCACGCTGATTGCTCCTGAATTTCCTTTATTTTCAATACATCTGATGATCTTTAATAGAGTTTCATTGTGTTGGTGGAAGTACATTTAACACCAAAATGATTACATTGATTTTCTCCGATAGTGCAGGTCCCCTCAATATCGCATAGAGCTTGGACATTAACCCACAGCTAGCAAACTTGTTCATTTCAGGAAGATCTCAATATTTACTTATTAAACCTTTTAACATTCTTTTAACTGCAGAAAATTTTAACAGCGCCAATGACTTATCGAAACAGATTTTTTTAAATAGTGGTTATGGTCTTACATTTAGTTTTGTAAGCTAGGCACAGAGAGCAGTTCATCTTTTTATGATGCACAAAATATTTATCTGCAGATGCTGGCTGATTCCTATTTTCAGCGATCACTAAACACGTCAAGAGTGGCTTGCCCAAATTAGCTACAGTTTATTGTTTGTAACAATGCAAGTATAATTGAGCATCTGTGTACATATGTACTGATCGTCACAATCACGCAGTGCATATCCTCTACTTTTTATATAAATACACTTATCCGTCTAGTGATGCTACTTAACAAAAAGAAAAGTTACAGCCTGAAAAGCTGATCGAGCAGAAAACCCAAACAGAATAATCACCATTCCAGGGCAGATCAGGGAATTCAATTGCCTACACAAACTCCCAGATGATACTTTGTGTTTATTTTAGGGGGGTAGGGGAACGCTTATGTAATCCACTCCTCTTTATTTAGTTTTTATCTGAAATCTAGTTTTAAAGCACTTTCACAATATATATTGCAATTTTTAGAAGAATAAATTTATCTCTCACCAACTTACCAGCCTAACTTGGGGATCACACCAAGTTTAAAAGGGACACAGCAGGCACCAAAACAACTTTAGCTTAATGAAGCACTGTTGGTGTATAGATTATGCCCCTGCGGTCTCACTGCTTAATTCTCTGCCATTTAGGAGTTAAATCACTTTGTTTATACAGCCTTAGTTACACCACCTGCATGTGACTTACACAGCATTCCTAAACATTTATTCTAAAGAGTTGCCCAGGCTCTGCCCCTCTAACCATTAACATCATATACAGGATTTTAGCTTCCCTAGTAATCTGTCCAAGAATTTGTATGTCATTGCGATGCTCATAATAGCCCATCTCAAAGCACTGTGTGCCGAGCTGGACAGAGATCTATGCTGGGTGCGTGCTCTTCAAGTTAAGGAGACTGACTTGATAAGTGCCATCAAGCAGTATTCAATCTATACCTCCACATAGGGTGTCAATATGTATAAGGTGTAAAACATAGTGACAATGGACAGAGATATATATATATATATATATATATATATATATAAAATATATACCACAGGAATCAAGAGATTTGTATGTGCTTGGGAAAAATGTATTAACTATTCAAATTTTCCCTATGTTCACAAGTGCCAGTTCCTATTTACTGTTCAGCATTTAAAGGAAAAATTAAAGTTTGTTTTTTGACAGATAAGTTTAAAGGGACACCATAGGCACTGCATCTGCTTCATCTCATTAAACTGGTTACAGTGTCTGGTGTCCTCTGGTACAATCATTTCTTTCAGCATTAAACAGTTTTTAAACTTTTAATGTTTTAATGCTGAACAAGAGTCCCCGGCAATCCATCCCCTCTGTGCTGCTTTGGCTAATAAGGAAGTATTAGCCTGAGCAGCAATAGGCAGCTGTGATTGGCTGAGAGTGTCAGCTGACTGCTTTTAGCCTGTCAGAGATCCAACTGACGGTATGAATGGGTATGACAATAAGGAAGTGTGTAATCTCTGCCTTAGCTACACATACAGATGGGGCTGGACTGTGGGTGGCCATGGACTTATTTTGTGGCATCCTGCACGAACATGGTGCAACACTGAATGGAGGGACAGTGCCAGGGCACTCCAGGCACTATAACCAATTCAAAGAGATGAAATGTTTATAGTGACTACAGTGTCCCTTTAAGTAAAATGCAATATTTGTACATTGAAAATAAATGGAATGTGACCGGATATAAACAAACATTCCGCACTTGAGATACCAGGATTTTATTGTAATGTAAATATGAAGACTGTTTTTTTTTTTTTTTTAATCAACGGTTCATACTTTACACAAGATCTTTTAAGTTAAAACACAGAAATAAATACACACTCTTTGTAACAAAAATACTGTAGAATGTAGTTTTACAAAAGTAATTCATTCAATAAACATTAATAGGCATTGTTAAGCAACAAGTCTAAAACAAAGAAAGGCAAGGGGGGAGAAAAAGCAAGAATATCATTATTGGACTTCATTACGCTACAATCCTTAAATGCCTTAAACAGTCAAAACGAGACATGCTAAAATACAACATAAATTAGGACTAATCGAGTAGAATCTTTTAGGTAACAAGTCAAACAAACGTACTTCAAACTCAGCATCTGTATTACAGAACACACTGTTCTATTACGTTCTAATCGGTCTAAGTTAGACAGAATGGCTCAGTAGTTTATTGTTGCAGATAAGTGGTCAGCAAAGTTAAAGCATTTCAGATGCCTTTGCTAAAAATCACATTAATGTTGTAGCACCAGCAGACCAAAGTGTTTTGGTATGAATCCCAGAGAGGCTAGAGATAGAGAGAGAGAGAGTGTGTGTGTCTTGTACAGCACTGAAACAATTATTAAAATTAAAATGCTACCAATGAAACAGAAGAGTGTGGTTATTATAAAAAAAAAAATTCCTTAGGTTTCAAATGCTTAAAATTAACAAACGCAAAATACTTTTTAGTGACGTTAGACGTCGGTCCAGGAAATTAAAAGAATAAAAAAATTATTTTGTAAGCATTACGATTAAGATGGACAGATTTATAGTAACAAACATATATGTATATATTTTTTATTTATTTTTTTAAGATGGCCATATGATGCTTTCAGAAAAACCAACAAACTTCTGCCAGACTAATCAGTGTACAATTCACTGGGTCCAGATATCACCATATCACGCGTTCTGCATAGCTCTAAACATTTTTGGTAGTGATTTGATTGATGTGACTGCACAAATATGGACGCCATTCAGGAGATGCGGCTAAGATACGTTGAACTAATAAGAACTCTCATGTAAACGTTTAATTTCTTTATTTAAGACCATTTCACATTCAGAAAAAAAAAAAAATGAACAAAAATACATTAGACAAAAAGCAAAACCAAGTCTAGAGAAAAACAAAAAAACTTTACAAATGTACATTTTTTTTTTCTTTACAAATACAAAAAACAATTCCTACAGCTCGTTGCATATAAATACTACATTTGGTATGCCATGGTAACACAGCAATAAAAAAATCCCTGAATTTTATTTAAGAGGACCTGAGACAGCAGACGGACAGTAAAACTTGGCAAAGCATCTCCCTAAGACTTAATGCAGAAGGTCCAACCCATATGACGAAGCCTTTTAATGCATTTGTGGTAAAGAAATTATATTCTAAATACCTAGAAAAAGTTTCTATTGCAAGATCCTATGTAAAAAAAACTTACATACTCCGTAAACATGAATTTAAAGCAATTTCCAAACATCAGTGTTTTTTTTATTGGGAGTGTATCTGCCGCATCAGTAGGACACCTTTGGCATTCCAAACATTGTGGACAACATCTCCAATAACGCTGGCAAAGCATATAGGGAGATGTAGTTCACAATATCAGAAGTGCAGAAGGTTGCCTACCATAGAATCATTAGATGCTATTAAAAAGAATAAAATATAGCTCCTTACTAATGGTCCCTTTAGAAAAGGGGTGCCCAACGTTGGCCCTAAGCCCAAAGGAAAGGTAGTTCTCAGAATTATTTTCCTGTCAACTGGCAAAGACAACATCTTCAGACCAATGGTTGGGAACTGCAGGTTTAAAGCAAGAGGTATAAAAAACAATGAATGTTGTGATCTTGATGGCTTTGTGATAAATAAAAAGAGCAAATTAGGATTGGAATTTTGCACAGATTATAATATGAAAATAGATTACAATGCTATGGTGAACTATATTTTGTACATGTGACGCACCATACTCTAGCTGTACTGTAATTATTCTTTTATTTTATTTATTTATTTTGGAGACCCCCTGAATACCCTTATCAAACCACCAAAAGGTGTTCAGACCTTTAGGATGTGTTGCATCAGTGCCCATTATTAGCATAATAAAATTTGAAAAGAAAATAGTTGATTAACGATAAATGCCAAGTTAAAGAATAAAAAAAAATTAAAAAAAATAAAAATAGAAAATGCAATTTATGCACAGACTTTATGCTTGCTACGTCTGTATAGTCAACACCAAATTCTACACAACGTTCTTGTAATGAAAAATAAAATATCAATTTCATTTGTTCAAGTTTTAATTTAAAAAGTAAAACTGCATTTTAAAAATGTTTTGGGGGGATTTCCATAGTGAAAAAAAAGAAAGAATTAAGAAAATGTGTTTTGTTCTAGAAACTTAATAAGAGTGGTATAGGGTTTGGTGCAATATTCTAAAAATGTGTCTACTGTGCTGTTCCCAAGAAAAGCTGCAAATGAATGGGATAGTGGTTATGCTGGCATATTAATCTTACAATGTGTTTTACTGCATTTTTGTTAAATGGAATGCTTATGAACATTATAAGTCAGGTGACGTAACTGTAGAAAAATATATATATATATTTAAATTTTTTTTAAATTTTTTTTTTAACAGGAGCTGCAGATGGTACGCAAAGGGCTTTGCACATCTCAGACTCCTGAAAACATTTTAAAGGGAGCGGTTAGCAGGCAGTGTTTGGCCACTGAAGTTGCAAGTTTGGGTGGTAAATGGAGACAGTGAGTCCTCTATTGGCAAATCAGTGCAAAGATAGTACATGCTCTCATTCTATTAAAGCTGCTGACACTTTGTACGTGCTATATTTATTGAATGTTAATTCAGAGTATGTTCCCCCGTCCGCTTCCATAACAGTATTACAGTTTTAGTCATATACAAGAAGTACCAGCTACTTGAAATGTTTGGAAAGGGTCTCGGAAACACAATATACCATTCAAAGTGGAAATAATTTACTAATATCTTTAGTAATACAAAGTGAAGCACCATTTTTTTAGAAGGGGGACTTGGGTACAGTGGTTGCAAAATCTGACTGGACATTGTGTCCGGTGGCCTGTCAGAGCCCGCAGGTAGAATCTTAAACATATTGCATCAATTGTACCGGGACAGACAGGTAACAAGAAAATAAAAGAAATCACAGTCTGCATATTATTGCTTTTCTCAAAGAAAGGCCAAGATGACACCTGACATTAATACGTTGTGTATAAAAAGCTCACATATCTGGATTTTTGTCTTTCTATATTTTGGCAATATATTTCTGGATGTTTGATACTACGGAATAGTAATCTGCAATATACACAGCATCGATCACATGAAAAACTTAAACATCTGTAAGTTCTAGAAATATATTTCCATAAAAATCGCACACAAAATAAACCTAACTATGAATCTTTCTTCTGGAGAACCAAAAACCAACCAATCAAAATACACATTAGCCACTAAGGCTCATCTTTCAATAAATGAATTCAGATTTTAAAATGAGATGCATGCCATATATTTATTTTAAAAAGATATATATATTAAAAGGTGTATGTGCCTATGGAAACGGAGTGATTGCCAGGGGATTAGAAATACAGAGACTACACCAAAGTGATAATTTGTTTTTTGTTTCACCTGTAAACTTAAATACCATAACAGGTGCCTGTGGACGGTATAAGCAATTTATATACTAGCATGACAAAAGTTAATTCTTCTTGCAGGCTAGCAAAAAAAATCTTTTTTTTCTATTGTACTTTACTTTAATAAGAGGGGGTTTAACAAACCTGCTTTAATTTACCCAATACTACAAGGAAAGAATGGGAGCCAATTGTGCACACACACAATACAGCTGAGAAGGGTACATACTACAGGTTAAGGAAGACACTGTAAGATGCAATTTCATATATGTGTCTCCCATTTGTTTCAATGGCAGAATAGGGATTGGCTAGGCTATCTCAGGTCCCCCCTGATTCAAGAAGAAATTATTCCCCCTCTCCCCCCATTTACTTTGCAGCATGTGTAAAATAAAATCCTTGTTGGGAAACATTTGGCAAATTGCCATCAATAGGCAGGAATTGTTTGAGCCATCTACAACCTCCGGCTGCATATTAACAAACATATATTGGGTACGGTGTATGATGTCAAAGAACTACACCTCCCCTACATCCTCACTATCTGTATAAATGGCCCTTCCTTACTTGTACAGGGATAGGTTGCCAATTGCTCAGTCAGGTAGTCTTTTCTACACCATATAAAACGGTAATAGTTCCTTATAAATGCACGACACTGAGGAAATATCAAAGGAAAAACTTCTAAAACAACCCAGATAGACTTTTTAAATGCATTTTTATGTATTCATTTAGAAAAGCCGAAAAATAAAAAGAGCAATTTATGTAATATCCCCCAGGTGTGTTTCTTGGTAAAGGTCTATAAGTGTTACTATATACTGGCATGGCTTCACTTTGATGGACACAGATCCTGTGGGGTGGGGATATTGGGTGCACAGAAGCTTTTATTGGAGCACGGGGTTTTGGTGCCATGTACTAAAAGTGTCATGGGTAATACTATGCTAGAAGAAGAGTGGGGTGTATAATATGTATGTTTGGGTGCACTGTGAATGATGGATAATTTACAAAGTGTTTGCCAGATTAATTAAAACCAAAGATCTTTTACTGTGCTCTACAATTATGTGACTAGTGAACAAAACCACCACTTATCACATGCTCTAGACCTCAATTAGTAGCATCAGCAGCAGTAAAGCAGGTCCTAGCACATTATTTACTGCAGACACCAACAGAACAAAAACACTGCAAAGAGACAGAATATCAATAACGTATCAGACCAGCTGCATCGACTGCACTGCAATAGAACCTCACCACCGTACACAACAACAAATAAATCACCTGGGGACTCTTTGTTGATCAAATTACAATAAAAGCAGCTTGTCGGGGGGCAAAACAAAAAATACAGTGGGACAAAACCAAACCAAACATGGATTTATTTTCTCTTTCTCCCAACATAAAATGGATGTAAAAAGGTTGCTTGCGCAGTCAGTAGTCAAAAATGTTCACCATGCAATATGTTTTGGTAGAACAAAAAAATATATAAATCAATCGTGTTTTGGACAATTGTACCCATTGCATTTTTGGAAATAAACTAGATTTAAAAAACAACCTGTTTAACCATGACTTAACATTTGATTTACGTTGCGGAGGCCAAGACTCGGTTTATGGTATCGGTAGCCATCCAGTATCTGCTAACATCACGCGGCGCAGGTAGAGTATAGCAGAGACAAAGTATAAAGTGAATTGTAGTTACACAACAGCTGGGATACCAAGTCCTTCAGAATGGAGGCTAAAAAGAATGATTTGAAATTCTGGGAACTAGCAATTCTAAAATCCCTAATATTTAGGGAGAGTTCATGCAGAAATAGAGTCACTCCTTTCCCAACAAGCCGAACACAGCATTTGGTTTTAACGAGTCTGCAAACTTTTCCAGTGAGTACTGTGATACAGTCCAATAAATCTTCAGCACTTAAACTTAATACCAGAAACAAAAAAATATATCAGTCATCACATCATTTTTTTCTTCTTGAAAGGTACAAAGAAAAAACATAGTTTTAGCCCTTTCAGATTGTATAATGCAAGTGAATAAAGCACCGTGTCGAAGACAGACTATTCAACAAAGAATACAATTCATCAGAGGACAACCTTTTCGATCAGCTAAGAAAACAAGATGGCAAAGTGGAATTGTCAATGAGAGCTAGAATACTCTGTAATCTAGGGCAAATTAAAGCAGACAGATTGAAGGTTGAAGTAAAGAGCGATCAGAACAGCACCCATGGGTCATCATGGATTTAACAATGGCAATTTAAAAAAAAATTTTTTTAGAAAAAACCCCACTAATATTTCTAAGAAAAACAGGATTTAGAATTGAGTTTATGAAATGCTAGTGAAAATTCAGCAACTGGTGGCACATCTCTGAAATTTAGAAGCAATTGATAATAGCACCAAATTACTGGCATCTATAGTTACATTTTTTTTATTTTTTTTTGATGGGTCAAGGTTTTTTCTTTACATTTCTCTTTCAACAGAATGCACAAATTCACACGTAATTCACATTAAATCCAAAGTGATTCATGCACTACTTGATGTAAATTCCTGCCCTTATCTGTGTAGATTAGAACCTTTAAACGTGTATTACAGGACTACATTCAGTGAACAGATCTCCAATACAATGGCAGCCAGTGTACAATTTTGGCAAGAACAAGAAACACTATTCACGATTACTGCCTGGGATTCACAAAGTATAAAATGAAGCAGACAACCTTTATTTCCATTTAAAAAAAGAAAAAGTTTGTATATATTAGCAAGAAATCTTGGAGGGCTAAATGAGTGCATTAACCAATGTAACACTGCGCAATGTCGCCAATACGTGAATAGGAAATGAAAACATGCTGATTGTAGCAATTTTTTTTTTTTTTTTTAACTCCAGAATCAATGTTATAAAAGAAGATCTCTACACATCTCATCACTCCAGGCAGCTTTTCTCATGAGTTGAAAAATGAAGGTTCTAAGGTGGCACGGGATAAGGAGACCACAAAGTCCTGTAGGTTCTAACATGTGGAGAACAGCAGCTATTACTGGGATTCCAGTGAGACCAGTGGTATCGGTCACCCCATAATGAGATAATACATTACGTATTAGATCGGACGCAGCTCTCTGCTAGTTACACAGGTAGCATAACACTGAAACCAGAAACCTGTCTATCATTGAAGCAAAAAAATATTTTGCTTATCAAAGCTTGGTGTGTCCCTGATCTTAAATGGCCTCCTACCTTTATACATCTTTTCACGTTCTATCTGGAATTTTAAACCAAAACGATGATACAAATGTGTAAAAAAAAATAAAAAATACATAAAACAAACATCAAATCAAAGTAGGAATAGAAGAGTACTAAAATGCAGTGTTTTGCACAACCAGCTGGCACTTAAAATGTTATATTATAGGACTCTTATTTACAAAGGCACCACCACTATTTAAATTCCTACACAAAAAAAAAAGGAAACATAGATGTGTGAAAAACTGAAAAGTGGATTGAAACTCATAGGTCATTCAATAAGTATTGAGATTGGTCATACCCAGAAGATGAGCATTTGGCATTGGAAGTTTAGCATCATGGAGATCCCCAAAAGGTTTAAAAACTGTAAACATTTTTTAGCTGCCATCAGGGTTGGTATCTTGTGCAAAAAATATTTTTTTTTTCTGTATCTGAAGCATAAAGTCACAAAACCATATAAAATCTCTATAAAAAGGTGCTTACTCTATATTACACACACAAAAGCTTTAACCATGATTTTAAAAAGGTTTCGTGCCCCTCATATTAAGCTGGAAGCTGCACCTTTTGAATTGTAGTGTTGGATTTTGTTGCGGCTGTAAAAAAAAGTCTTAAGACCTAATAAATAAGGCTGGCCTTAATAAGCGATTCAGTAATACATTTACAAATGCATCAAAAAAGCACCACCGTAGAGAGCAAACGGTCCCACAAAAAATCCTTTCTAAGAATACGGAAAAAATCCCTGCAGTAGAAGACCCCTTAAGTTTTTTTAAATAATAAAAAAGAAAAAGAAAAAATTAAACTCCCAGCCAATGTTGGTCATCCATTCCATCCCATGAGATGGCTCACTCTTGCCTTTTCAGTCATTTTGCGTATTCTTCCAGATCGAGAGGTTCCAAGGTTCAAGGGATCATCAAATTGCACCAAACTATCATGGTCATTGTCTGACTCGTCATTATATAACACAGTTCTTCTGCCCTGATTTCTTGTATTTATCCTGCGCTTTTTCCTTATTTGTCCAACAAAGTCACTCTCATCTCCATCATCATTGTTGTCCTTTTCGTCGTCATCGTCGTCCTCATCATCATCAGTAATATTGTTATCATCATCGTCAGACACTTGGCAATGTTTCATGCCAGGGCCACTGGGACTTTCAGTCTTGTTTGTCCCCCTGCCTTTGCCTCTTCCCCTACCCCTTCCCCTACCCCTACCTCTTCCTCGTTTGGGAACTAGTTCATTACCACGATTGTAACCTTTTGCACGTCCCCTTCCTCTGCTTCGTCCCCGACCTCTCCCTTTGCTTTTCCCATCACCAGATTTACTCACTAGTTTCCTCTTAAGTTTTGTCCGTACTACTTTACTGTAATCGTGGTCCCCATCAACGTAATCCTGATCCGATTTGGTTGACGACTCTGAATCTGAGCTACTATCAGACTCCAATTCACTCTTGGAGCTTAAACTAGATTCAGAATCTCTGCTTTCAGATGATGAACGGGAATGTGGACGCTTTTCCAAAGGTGGTGGTTCTTCCGATTTTTCTACATCTTCTCCTTGACTTTCATCTTCAGAAGAACTTAGTAACCTTCTTCTGGACTTTGGTGTATCACCTCCCTCACCATTTGTAAGAGGTCCATTGGTATGTTCTGCTGCAACACAAAACAAGATGTATGAATGTGCATATTTCTAAGCATGCCATACAAGTATTTGTACTGGCAGATGGTCAACCATAGCTTCCTACTATGACATGTGAGGGAAAAGGGGTATGCTTATAGCTAGGATAATTTCTGGGAAAACTGCACCTATAAGCAAATGTGGGTATGGAGACAAGTACAGGGAACCCAATTGCAACAAACTGTATCCTGTGAAATTAGTAGATTATTAGATGTTACTGTGCTTGGAATATGACTTTAAATGGGAAGTACCATGCATGATTCTAGCTCCTATGGTTTATGGGAGTTAACACCCTTAGAAAAAGAAATAAAGTGTCAGAGTCCAAATACTGCTATTTATCCCATATTTAAAATGACTGCTACAAAAGTGTTCTTTGTTTTCCTTTTAATTGGGGAAAAAAAGTGTTTTAGGACAAGGTTGTGTCAATTCACCCATTCTTTTGAAATGGAATAAAAACATATTCAGATAAAAATAAAATCACAAAATGCATTTACCTTTCACAGGGGAACATTTAACCTTTGCGCCATTCGCTTGTTCAGGCTCTGCATCGCTTTTGTTCGGCTTAACAGATGTGGATGAAGATGGCTGCTCTTCCATTTGTTCATCAGCAGATATTGCATCAGGTTCCACAGCAGTGTCAGACACTAAGGATGGAAAAATTGTAATAAATGGAGACCTAGTTTAACCTGGCAGTGAGTGCATGCTGTAAAATATAGAGGAGGGCATATAAGCTTACTACTCTGATATATAGTGCAAGTTTATAGCTACAGCGATTTTTAGCCACGCTTTACAATCATAAAATATCATCAAGATAAACAGTTTAGAAAATAGCAGGGCTAATCGTTCAAGTGCTTAGCTGCTAGCCAGACAAGGTTGATTCACAAAGTACCGTATCTGGTTCAAAAATTAGCGGCCAAACTTCAATTTGTGTGTTATGTCATTGCTTGTGTGAATGTAGGCCATATTTGTGCCCACTCTCTTGTATGCATGGGTGTGTTTACATGCAGAGTGTGCATGAAAGTGCAAAAAATAGTTGTAGTAGGCCACTGTGTGCGTGTGTGCAAGTAGGATTAGAAATAAGAAGAGATAAAAAGCTGGGGAAGAATTTGGTGTGGTGTGCAATTATGTGCCAAAATCTTATTGTAGGGGGCTGAGGTGTATGGAGGGCCATCTGTGAAGATATTAAAATACGGCAACATGTACAGGTTTTTGGGATAAAAATTCATCTCTCCGTCGCTTACTTTGTGATGCAGAGGATGAGCTACTTCTCAAGGGCAAAGATGAGTTTTGGCTGAGTTTCGGCTGAAGCTTCAATCTTCTTGGTTTTGGACTGCAAATGAAGAGAAGGGGAAATAAAACAAATGTTACTATAAACAGTATGTGTTGTCTGAAATGTGTAAATGGTAATCATTTGTGTTGAACAGCCAGCCAAATGGAAGAGACAGATAAACACTGCAGAACTACCATGGACCCTAACGTAGGAGTATAATAGTGTGGTTTAAAGCTATTCCATAATGAAAAAGTTAACTTGGGATATGTTGTAGCAGATGTTAATATATGCTTTGACCACAGACCTTTAGTTTATGAAGTATAAGGGATTGTACTCCCTCCTGTAAACATCTCTTGGCTTTACCTTGAAGCTCGACTGCTGGAGGATGAGATGCTGTTGCTCCGACTGCTGCTACTGCTACTACTACTCCGGATGCGCTTGCGGTATCGCCGCCTTTTACGCTTCTGTAATTGCATTGCCAATTTGTAATCGGAAATTATATCTTTGATGTAGGTTTCACACAATGCAGACAACCTAAGAGTCATACTGTAGATCTATAAAGATAAATTAAATAAGAGAGGAAAAAAAATATTAAAGACAGTCCACTGCCAAACAGTAAAAAAATAAATAAAACTAAATTCATCACTGTTTAGTAGATATAACCTCCAATGAAAACATGCACGCATTTACTTCTGCATTTTGTAATTAAAGGTAAATCTAAACACCGCTTGCAAAAGCTGCAGATTTCGTCAAATGCCTTTGGAAGACCTGTCCCTTCTGTCCAATCACAGCGTGAGTTTAGCTCCACTGAACTAAGAAACCCTGAAGCAACAGGACCAGAACCTGCTGATTTTTTATTTTTTTTCCCCTTCATGCATAACAGACACACAAATCAAGCACTTTAACAAGCCGAAGGTCTTTAGTGGTCTGGAGTGTTCCTTCAATTATTGCAACCTATAAAACTCTTTTGGAGTATATGAAAAGATGACATCGTGCACAACTGATCGATTAAACTTTCATATATGTCCTGCAATTTGAATTGACTCAAAACACAGCATGGATACACACAAAATAGCTGGTGTCAGCGTTTACCCTCTCCACGCATAAGTCCTTGCTTTAAAGTCATTAAAACACAAGTCTTATGTGGTTCTGTACAGACACATTGGGTGGGTAGGTGGGTTGTAGTCCTATGCTACTAGCCAGCTACTCTCCACTACAAGCCATAGAATAGCCTTAAAGGGTGTGCAGAAACATTGGATGTGCAGATGGGTTGTAGTCCTATGCTACTAGCCAGCTACTCTCCCCTACAAGCCATAGTATAGCCTTTAAAGGTGTACAGACACATTGGGTGGGTAGGTGGGTTGTAATCCTATGCTACTAGCCAGCTACTCTTCATTACAAGCCATAGTATAGCCTTAAAGGGTGAGTTTCTACTCACCGGGGTGAAATCTTCACTCACCAATGGCTAGTGGCAAGAGGAAATTCATGTATTAATATGTAATTCTAATTTACTAGATTATATTTTGTTGCAAAAAAAAATACCAGTTGTAAATTTCTACAGAAGAATTGGAGCCTTACCCTGGATTTCTTGTTAGGTGTGTATGCTTTAGAGTTACTAAAAATCAGCCGAACATCTCTGCCAAAGTCCAAGGGATCGCTGTAATTTCCACTTTGTAAAGTTTCTTTTACAGTGCTGAAGTCCATTGGAGTTTCGATGACATCCTGATAATCCTATAAAATCAATTACATGTATTATTATTTTTCTCACCAATCATTTAATCTCCAACTCTATAGGAATGACCACTGTAGTTCCGCATGTTCGTATTTATCACATACAAGAAGTGCTACTGCACTCACAGGATAGGAAACACTATTCACCGGTTGTCTGAAGGGCTCAGAATCTTCCCGTTCATAAATGAGGTCTAAAAGCTCTTTACAGCTATCCTTCCACGAGTCAGGATTGGATCGGAGAAGTTGTCTTTTAGTTCGTCGAGTTAACTGAACAATAAAAAAAAAAAAGAAAGAAATGGATGAACATAGTGATTGTGGCAAATACTCTCGATTATTTATATACATCTGGGAGGATGTACAGTGAGGGAAAAAAGTATTTGATCCCCTGCTGATTTTGAACGTTTGCCCACGTTCAAAATCGTTTGACAAACAAATGATCAGTCTATAATTTTTATGGTAGGTGTATTTTAATAAAATAAAAAAGAATAAAGAATAGAAAAGAATAAAAAAAGAAAAAAAAACAGAAAAACGCATGTCAAAAAAGTTATAAATTGATTTGCATGTCAATGAGTGAAATACATATTTTATCCCCTATCAATCAGCAAGATTTCTGGCTCCCAGTTGTATTTTATACAGGTAACGAGCTGAGATTAGGAGCACTCTCTTAAAGGGAGTGCTCCTAATCTCAGTTTGTTACCTGTATAAAAGACACCTGGCCACAGAAGCAATCAATCAATCAGATTCCAAACTCTCCACCATGGCCAAGGCCAAAGAGCTGTCAAAGGATGTCAGGGACAAGATTGTAGACCTGCACAATCTTGGGCTACAAGACCATCGCCAAGCATCTTAGTGAGAAGGTGACAACGGTTGGTGCGATTATTCGCAAATGGAAGAAACACAAAATAACTGTCAGTCTCCCTCGGTCTGGTGCTCCATGCAAGATCTCACCTCGTGGAGTTTTAATGATCATGAGAACAGTGAGGAATCAGCCCAGAACTACACAGGAGGATCTTGTTAATGATCTCAAGGCAGCTGGGACCATAGTCACCAAGAAAACAATTGGTAACACACTACGCCGTGAAGGACTAAAATCCTGCAGCGCCCACAAGGTCCCCCTGCTCAAGAAAGCACATGTACACGCCCGTCTGAAGTTTGCCAATGAGCATCTGAATGATTCAGAGGAGAACTGGTGAAAGTGTTGTGGTCAGATCTAACCAAAATCGAGCTCTTCGGCATCAACTCAACTCGCCATGTTTGGAGGAGAAGGAATACTGCCTATCCCCACAGTCAAATATGGAGGTAAAAACATTATGCTTTGGGGGTGTTTTTCTGCTAAGGGGACAGGACAACTGCACCACATCAAAGGGATAATAGACGGGGCCATGTTACATCAAATCTTGGGTGAGAACCTCCTTCCCTCAGCCAGGCCATTGAAAATGGGTCGTGGATGGGTATTCCAGTATGACAATGACACAAAACACAAGACAACAAACGAGTGGCTCAAGAAGAAGCACATCCCATAGAAAATCTGTGGAGGGAGCTGAAGGTTCGAGTTGCCAAACGTTAGCCTCGAAACCTTAATGACTTGGAGAGGATCTGCAAAGAGGATTGGGACAAAATCCCTCCTGAGATGTGTGCAAACCTGGTGATCAACTACAAGAAGTGTCTGACCTCTGTGATTGCCTACAAGGGTTTTGCCACCAAGTACTAAGTCAAAGTGGTCAAATACTTATTTCACTCGTTGACATACAAATCAGTTTTTAACTTTTCTGACATGCGTTTTTCTGGATTTTGTTTTGTTATTCTGTCTCTCACGGTTAATATACACCTACCATTAAAATTAAAGACTGAACATTTCTTCGATAATGGACAAACATTCAAAATCAGCTGGGGCGCAAATCATTTTTCCCCCTCACTGTATAGAAATGACTAGAACAGGTGTTGGGAAAAGGCATACATCCAGCTGTAGTAGAACTTCAACTCCGACAATGCTTTGTGAGAATAAAAGCTGACAAAGCATCAAAGGAGATTTAGTGGTACCACGACTAGGACTCTACCTGTCGACCGACCCTGGACTAGGAGCATACTAAGGTTTACAGAATGTCCTGTCTTCTACACAGTATGTTCTTGGTAAGTTTTACAGATGAATCAAATCAGTGGTCCAGGGAAATTCCTAGCAAATGCACCGTAAAAGGTATCATAAAAAGGTACATTTGTTTTATCACTAGTTTCCAAGTATGTCCAAGGTAGCTCATTTTATTGAACTTGCAAGGTTTATATATAACATTTCATAATGGTTTCTGAAAGTCAATGATTTCATAATGGGTAGCTATTGTACAAAGGCAAGTATGCAAATAACATAAATATAAGTATTTTTTTAAAATTTTTACTTACCGCTCGACCTGAGGATGTTCCCGGTAAATCTGACTCCATTTCAACTGTGGCAGTCTGGTTGGGGGAAAATAAAGATGCTGGTCAAAAAGTTTGCAACAAGAAACAAAAGCCAAAAAACACACAAAAAAACCCAACTCCTAAGACATTTACAGAAAGTGGCTTTTTATGGAAGATTAGAAAAGTTCACTGGTCTTTTACAAACTATAAGGTTACTAAATTCAGATGGGAAATATGAATCTTGAAATCTGAATTTCCACAAGGAAAGAAAATTATATATAAATTTTAAAAAATAATAATAATAGCGATGAAAGGGACACTATAGGTATCAAAACAACTTAAGCTTAACCCCTTAAGTACCAAACTTCTGGAATAAAAGGGAATCATGACATGTCACACATGCCACGTGTCCTTGAGGGGTTAAAGAAGCAGTTTTGGTGTATAGATCATGCCCCAGCAGTCTCACTGCTCATTTACCTGACATTTGGGCATTAAATCACTTTTGTTTCTGTTTATGCAGCTCTGGTCACAGCTCCCATGGCTGTGACGGACACAGCCAACATCAATTTCAATCAGATATTAATTTGATAAAGAAGATTTCATTATGTAAATTGTTAATCACACACAGGAAAGTATTGCAGACTGTGCAATAAATTAGGTGTAAACATTAGATCTCTCTTTACAGGAAGTGCTTGGGAAGGATGTGCAAGTCACATGCAGGGAGGTGTGACTAGGGTTCATAAACAAAGTGATTTAACTCCTAAATGGCAGAGGATTGAGCAGTGAGGTTGCAGGGGCATGTTCTATACACCAAAACTAAAACTAAAAACAAGGGATATTCAATTTGTTTTCTCCTTGTTTATTTTTTATATATTTATTTCTTTGTTCTTTTTCTTTATTATTGCATTTAAAAGGGTATCAAATCAACCTTCAAGTGTCCCTTTAAGGAACGTAGAGAGATTTTTACATTTTTTTTTAATGAAAGCCATTTCAACACATCTAATACTATTTGGAATGCATTTTTTATTTCCTCACCTCTTGCTCGTCCTCAGCATTTCCAACATCTTCTGACTTGACTTGATTGTAGATCTCTAGGATATCAGTGCAATCATCATCCCTAAGAATTGGAAACACACACAGTGTTAGGAGACACTAGGACAACTGAAAATAAACATACATCAAATAAAAGTGAGCACATTACCCAATATAACGTAATAATACATCAGTCACAATTTTGGCTGCTTTTACGATTGGAGAGTTGGGTTCATTGAATGTTCGGGCGTTGTGCTCAATGTAACGGACCTCCCACATCAACGCAGAGATCCTCCTGAATGCAAAATGAAAAACAGGATAAGTATATGGAAATGTGGGGGGGGAATCTATAGATAAGACATATACATGTATGAAGTGGCCGTAATTTTAAATGAACAATCCAATGTTATAGATACATTTAGAACTCTGAGTCGCCCCTTTTCCTATAAAAATAAAGCAGTTACCTATCTTTAGTCAAACGTCGAGAAAGTCCCTCACTGCAGATCTACTCTCCCTCTAGAAGATCATCAGTAGTGATGATCTCCCAGTCACTCCAACGATGCACTAGTAGGCAGGGAGCAAACGCAGCAATCACCACGCTTTGTTGACAGTGAAGCACTGAATCCAATGTTATTAAAAGCCTCACATCGACTTTGAGGAAGCACTCAAATCAAATGAAGAACCCTTCCCCAGTTGTCTGCAACCTATGAGCCTTAGAAAAGCGCTGATTTATCTTAAAACTGGCAAATTTAAAAAAGTTAAAACGAGGGGACCCATGAAACACTTGTGCACGTTTTCTCTAATCACCTAAAGAACATAACGAGATATTTACCCCTTTTCGATCAACCAATACATATAGATAATGCATTATAGATAACAGGGATCATTTGCATTGGCCTTATGGTTTCAATTTCAGATTGTCTACTTTTAGGGGCAATACAGTCATTTTCTCTTGGCTAGTTTGTTTGTGTATGTTATAGCTGCAGTGGAGAGAAAATCTAAGGTGCTTAACCAGCAATATAACAATTATCTAGAGGGGGAGCTAGAGGACAAGAGAACGCTTATTTCATATCTGTATCCTGATCTGCACTTACATCCTTTGTTGAATATATGATGCAAGCTTTATATTTCGATCATTATAAGAGTTTGAGCCAAATAATACCGTGGACAGAGAACAAGTGGAACAATGCTCAATTTTCTTCTTTTTTTTTCCATAGAAAATCAAACAAGAATATCAGCAGACTAAACTATGCAAAGAATAACTCACAAAAGCAAGGAACAGACAGTGTGCAAAATAGGTCAGAAATAATATTTCTCTAGAATTATGTGTGGACAAATAAACCTCACTTCTTTTATGAACTAAAAGGCCATCCTGCACTGCAACACATATAGAGATAAAAGCTTTAACATAGAAATTACGAGGCAAAGAAGACAGCCTATTCTGAAACAGACAATGTGGCTGATCTCATTTACCAACTTGACATTTAAATATGAAGAATAATGTCAATAATGCTGCTCATATCTTTTAGTAAAGATGTGTGCAGCCTCAATAAATGCACAGAAAATATTTAATATATAGATTATATTCATTGTCTCTCTCTCTCATCACAGTCATTGGCAGTGCGAAACAGAACCACAAAAAACGGGAGGTATGAATTCAGGACAGAAGGGGTGGGAAAGGGGGTCTATGCAGCGGCAAGTGTATTTTAATAGCAGTTTTTGGACACACAAAAGAAAAACCCCAAAGACACTATTGTGGTTCCATAACTGGCTGCCACTGGATCCAGTACTATTGGGTGGGCACATGCTAATGTCTAAGGAGGCAATCACTGCTTTGGAAAGACAAACACAAAATAAAAACCAAACAAACCTGTAGTAACGGCTTTCTAGTCTCTTCCTTACGGTGCTCAGATCTGTTGGGTACGCTATAACGGTACAATATAATGGGTAGGCACTAAGATCCACAGGAGCACTAAAAGGGCTGGCAAACTCTGCAAAGAACAAGTAATGCATCACACTTTCATTCAAATCTCAACACAATATTAAACAGTGATATATCTACTTAATGACTCTAAGCTTGTTTGAACAGAGCCCTTTTTATTTCAGCTGTCGACATTTAATAATACTGAGGGGAAGTCACTAATTCTCTGGTATCATATCTGCTAACTAATTCATATTTTCAAAGCAATTCTATTCACTGAATACAATGAATGGAACTGCTATCCAAGTTGCAATTGAAGCTGCCAATAAGCTGAGAAGGAGCAGAATTAAATAGTTGGGACTTTTACAGCATTCATGCGTCATTCAAGTACTAGACGGGCAAGGGAGCTTCCTTGTTTGATGTGAGAGGGGTGGACTTTTAACTGAAGCAAAGGGAAAAGTAATAATGGCTCTTTAAACTAAACTGTTTTTTATTGACATGCAATGAAAAACAAAGACTGCCACATGTGAACTTGTTTGCAAAAAAATGAGTAAGTAAAGTTATACAAAATTATTTTGACTGTTGCTGGTCCACACATTGAACATCTGCTATACTGGACAATGCATGTTCATAGGATTGCATTTGGTCTTTGAGCATTTAGGATATAACTGAATACAAGTTAATCCAGCAATTGGGCTTGGATTTGAGTTTTAACATTCTGCAAGTACATTGCATACCGAGAGACAGAAGCTGATCAATTCCTTGAATGACCCGATTACACACTTCATCCCTTGACTTCGACCCCCATTCTCCTTCCTCCGGTTTGTATTGCAGAGCATTCAGTTCTTCGGCAGTAACGGGAATACCGGCACCCATTTCATCTGGCAAAGCTGCAACAAACAGATCCAGTAAGTCTGCCGCTGTCTTTAGTTATTTCAAAGTTTACTAACACCGATATCACCCTCATTCAACACTGGTTTATAGATAAAATAACATCTTTATAAAACTATAAAGCTTTAATTAAGGAAAAGAAAACATGCTTACCATCATCTGGAACAGGTTCCATGTCCCACGGGCTCATATTCTCCCTCTCGTTATTATCCCAGCTGTTGAAATGTGAAGAAAACACATTGTTGTAAAGGCACAGGACATCAAACATCAAGCACTGGACACCTGAAGCAGGATGTGTTGGCATTTTATAAGCAATGTAAAGTAGAAGAGTTCAATGCACAGACATTGCATGTTTATTCTCCCCTATAAAACAGAGCACTCGCATATTTCATGGGGAAAATTGCTTGCTTCCTATGGAACCACAATTCCAACCCACTGAATTTGTAAGACTGCTTTCCAGGGAAGACGAAATACGTGCACTTACTGCACACTGTAGCATTGGAATAAACTGTCTGGATACTCCATCTGGAAGGGCTGCTGACTTTCCACCATTCCGAACCACCAGGCGTCATCAATGATACTACGGAATCTGTCTCCTGGAACAGAGAAAACATTCTTACATAACGGCATTCAAATTCGTTTTGCTGTTTTTTTTTGTGTTTCTTTTTTTTTTGCATTCCTTTTTTTTTTTTGTTTACTCACTGTTAAAGCAGATTTTGTTAATGCTTTGCATATTTTTATTGGATTTTGTGTGTTTGAACAAACTAAAAGGTCCTGCTGAATGGCAGACCTGCGAGTGACATCACTGGTTGACGAGAAAGTCATGGGCATCAGATGTACTCAGTGCTAAAACTAAAACTAATAAAAAGATAAAACACATACACACAATCTAAAACATATGCAAAAAGTGACCATTTACAATCGCTAACAAACTCTATTGACAAAACAGTGCCAGTTTGTTTTCTTGTATGCAAAGCTGTTATTTAGAACGCCTTGTATTCAAGTATTTTGTTTGTGATACGGATGTTGACTTTAAATAGGACTAATGACCAATACCCGAAGCTCAAGTTTCCTCGAAACTGCAACTGTCTCAAGATAGTATGAATGGAGCTTTTAGTTAAAGTCATTAATGGAATCGAAGAAAAGCTATATTCACATAGCAGTGGGATTTGGAGAGTTGATAGCAGAGAGGCAAGACTCCTCCATTCTCGAGATTTTTCACATTGGGCTATCTTGGTTTACATCTTGCAAGTAAGTCACCAACCCAAAATCTCTTATGGTTTACAGACTCAACCCTCTGGACACCAGGTAGCTGAGATGTTGTGTGAAACAACTGTGTACATGTATATAAAGAAGTACATAATAAATCTGTTTCCCCGAATCCCCCTCATGAGTGCAAAACTTACCTATCTGCCAGTTTCTTTCCTTGGCCTCTTTGTAGAACTGATAGAGTACAAGGAAGTCAATGACATCAGGCATGTCATGGTACCTACAAGTTAAGGTTATACAAATTATGAACAGCTTCTACGCATATGTTTAATTTAGCAAGATTACATGGTAATCAAAACACATCTAGAATATTAACTAAACAAGTTCCAGTACCTGTGGGATGGGTACATGTGTGGTCAAGAACAAAAATTTACCACTACTAGAAGAGGGGTAAGATAATGCTCTAATAACTCCTGCAAGATCACATCAATTCTACAAAACTTACTTGACAGAGAAAGATTCGCCGCTCATTTTGCCAGATGTAGGATCCAGGAGGGCAAGTTTTAAGCAACACAGCGTTGGTGGTCCAACCTCGTATTTTATTCCCACGACCTTCAAAAATTCCTGTTCCTGGAAATGAAACAGTGAAAGTGAGAATTAAGTTTAATGGAGAATAAGGAATTTATAGATGACATTTTAGAACCAAATCACAAGATGATTCACAATATAATGTGTCCTCATACAGCTAAAACAGAAAATGTGTGCGTATTCCATCTTTTGAGCAAAGATAAGGTTCTAACTCCCAAATAGGACCTGTTTAGAAGTTCATTTTACCTGTTTTTTCACAACTGACATGACTTATAGGTATTCATTTAGTGGGAGAGGAATCATGCAAAAAGTAAACAGATCTGCATAAAGAGCAGAAGTACAGATCAATTATTCCATCTGTCAGTGCTCATCCAGGATGAAATCGCCAGTAAAAGCACTGGTGGTCCATGTCATTAAGAGGCCAATGAAGTGCATATCACGTCTGTATTTCTTAGAAAGTCACCGTGACTGCAGCACCATTTCATGCCAGGACTGTAACATCCTATTTAGAGGCTCACTGGTTTTCTGTCCTTGCAGATCAGATCACATTGGCTGGGGCAACACTGATGAAAGAAAGACAGCTAGTGGACAAAAGGTCCAGAGTGCAAAGAATGAGAATCCAAATTCCTGGATATCTGATATGCTTCCCCTCCCATGTAATAACCAAGGTGAGAAGGCTTGATTTATTTAAGAAAACCAAGTTACCCTGAGCTCCATCTTGTTCCATGGTTGCTTTTGTAGGTTAACACTGTAAATTTTTGATTTCCTTACAGCTCGTACATATGCTTCATGACCTTGTCTGAAATAAATAACCTGCAAAGGGAAAAAGAAACAAAATTGTGTTTTTTAAAAACACAGAATCTGTAGTTTTGCAATTGACAAGAAATGCAATAGTCTCACTATCTCAACCCGAAAAATTCTCAAGCTCAACCCCTGCTTTTAATTTTTTTTTATAATTTAACTATTTTGGACTAAAATGTGTGATTGGGCTGCCAAATAAACCCAATATTCCCTTAAAACAAAGATATCACAATTGGCTAACAATCTTTCATTGTAAGACGACCCATACTGTAACAGTGATTAACAGTCAAATAACAGAGTAGGGGGGGAAAAAAAACTTCTAAAGCCAACACTCTGTGCTGTAATGCCAGATTGTAATGTCAGGCATGATCTATACACGAAAACTGCTTTACCAAACGAACAAACCATTGATTTTAAACAATATGGTAGATATATATGAAAACAGCTTGTAAAAGCTGCAGACCTGCTTTCTTTCCCCAGCCTTCATTCTGAGACCTTCAGTGCTGGGAGTACACCAATCAAGTGTATTCCCCTGGAAAGTGACAGTCAGGGAGCTGTTTCTCATTGACAAGCATTTCTATTGAGATCAGTACTTTATAAGCGGTCACAAATATGACAAGACTCCAGACACATAGAGCAGGTCGGGAAGCTGAAGCGTTTTGTGTGTTCCTTTCAGCTAAACATGTTTTTGGTGTTTAGAGTATTTATTTAATAACTAAACTGGGAAGTTCATCCCAAAATTTATGACTAAATGGCTGAATTAAAAAAAATCCCCCATTTGGCCAAAAATATGAAACCGATTGGCGAATTCTTGAAATTCCTGTTTAGTGAATAATCCTGACTGCACTTTGACGTATATTTCAATTATACATCTTCCTTTATTGCTCAGGTGTTCACCAGCAATAGCTCTCGTAGCTGCTTTGTTTGCCATTTAAAGCAAAACAATATTTCTAGTCACCTACGGGTAAATGTGCTCAGTTAACACTATTGAAATAAATCTGTCTCTTGTAGTCATTGTACGTTACCTCATCTCCCATCTGTGGGACGAAAGGGGAACGCCGTGGTATTGTGTCAAGGATCCACTGCGGAGGGATCCACTCTTCGCTTGTCTCTCCTTCCATAGATAGAAATTCATTCTGTTTCTGAATAAAAGTATAAAAATGTTATTCGTGACGGATCAGTGAAAAAAAAAAAGTGTCTGCCTGCTCGAATGCCAGCTTAAGATATTTCAAATTGCAATAGTTGAATTAATGCATTTGTAAAAAAAATAAATAAAAAAAAAATGCAAAGTATGTTTATATAAATTATTCTACAAACATACCTGCTGGCAATATCACCAACACAATGGTTAGATTATGCTAAATCTAAAGGTTGGCGTGTCTTATCTACTTTTTTGGCTGGTGTGCTCTTTGAGGATTGCCAATCACTAATCTATTCCAGATTTGCCAAGAATTACATCAGATATTGAAGGTGATGGAAAAGCCACAAACCTTTCTCTTTGTCTGCTTGTGTTTCTTGGGCTTATAATCCTCCTTGGCATTTTCATCTTCAGAGCTGCTGCACATTTTCCTCGTCGTCTGCCTTGTTTGTCTTTTGGGAGGCTGAAGATTGATCCCAGCATCTGCTGTCCAATCTGAATATTCACTTGAAGAGTCACTGAGAAATGATAAGTATAAGATGGAAATATATACCATATCATAAGATGAGGACAATGCTACTAGCCCAAACCTAAATGTACCATATGAAAGTAGCAAGATAGAAACATACAAATATAACTGAATAAGGAACAGGGTAAGTCTTGTGCACAGCACTCAGATGCCCACAGTTTCCAATCAGTAGCGAATGTTACCAATTGGACAAACTTTGATACTTTAACTTTTGTATTTCATCTAAATCCTTAGAATGGTGGAAATATGTACCTCGAGGAGCTCTCAGTTTGCCAACCTGCTGTTGTATCAGCTGCTGAAGCCTCAGTTGATGGTCGCGATTCTTCATCCTTTGGAGGAAAAAAAGATGAAATATAGGATCAGTTGACTTATGCTAGGAGAAGCCTTAATTGCCCAATGAAGTAAATTATTGATTGAGCACAATGGTGTCCAAATGTAGGCACTACAATTCCTATAATTCTGGGAAATGCAGCTCAGTATCACTTTGTAAGTGTAGGCTGGACACTCCTATATGTGGGTAGACAGCCTGCTTGAAGTGGAGGCAAAAAATAAAATAAGAAAACAATTTTATTAGTAAGAAGGTTTTTTTGGTTTGTTTGTTTTTTTTTAACTGGATACAAGAAACAATATTTTAAAAATTCTGCCAGTGGAAATGTTTGATAGCCTTAGTTGTAGTGGTTATGGTACTTAAACTGTCCCTTTAAGGAAAGCTAAAATATTCTGGAGCAGGTTCTGACAATGTACCTCTGAAGAACTTTGAGAATCTTCCCCATTTGCAGCTGGGACATTTGTCTGCCTGTCATGTTCGATAGCGGAACGGGTCTGATAAGCATGTGGCCGCTTCCTCTGTATTCTTCTTAATGATCGTCCGCTGCATACTTGGTACTCGTTCTAAAAACAAAACATAGGACAATTATGCATTATACCTTCACTGTATATTGTCCAGAAAAGAAAAATAAATGAAAGAATATATTAGTCTTTTACTTTAAGCTAAAAAACAATAACAATTCGGCGAATGTTTCCAAATCTGCGAACGTTATCTGAAGGCTTAACTCCGTTAAAGAAATGCAACTCACAGTGTTTTGCAAAGTGTAATTCATAGATTTGCTTACATCACCCACATGGATCAAGACATTATTAAATCAACAGTCACACCTATTAGGCACCCAGAGTTCCACCTTCCTGCAATAACACAATTCAGCAGAGCAGTGGTGTTTGTCAATATGCTTTATGTCTGTTTTCACGGACCCGTTAATGTTACAGTCACAATATAGAATTAGAATCTGGGTGGATGTAAAAAGTGAAATCACAAGCACCGAATTTCAGTAGCCCACTTACCCTTTGTGCGGGGTGGGGGGGCTTCCTCTTTTTTTCTGTATTGTACAGAGATACTTCCGTTTCACCCTTTGCTGTTCTACATTCTTCCTGGACCCTGAAATACACGCGGGCAATACAGGTCAGTCGTTTTAAACACAAATCAAGAGAAGACTTACACAATATATTTATAAAGAATAATTCTGGAGAAATAGTCCAAGAGTGGAGCATTCACCATAGTACCCAACAGAATGCTTCTATTACCTTCTCCAAAAACATGCTTAACGGATAACCCAGAAGGCTCCTTACCTACTAACACCAGGATGTAACTCATTTACAACCACTCTTCTGCTCCAGGCCATCAAGTCCCGTTCAGTAGCAATTTGACTTCGGGGAGCATTAAGATGCATTTGCCGAACTCCTTCAATTTGGCCGCTACGTCGGAGGCCGACATTAGGCGGGGATGACAAATCCAAACTCTGACTTCTCACAACTATAGAAAAATTAAGAGACACTGAGTTTATGTAGAATCCAGATAATGTAAAACCAATACTATACAACATGGAACCTGCTTTTGGTCTTTTAAACAGAGCCTCCCAGTGGTAAAATGTGTAACTACATGCACACAGAAATGCTCAACACAGCCGTTACAGCCAAGACATGCAACGGGGAAGAAATAATCATGAAGAAAGTTGGACCGGGCACATATAGATGGTGTTAAGGCAGATTTTATTGGAAAACTAAAAAATGTTTCAGTTCCCACAGGAGCCATTATCAATACAGTGGGGAAGAAATCAAAGTCTGAAAGACTGAGAAGCACTTTTATAGTTTATATAAAATGCTTTTAAGAGAGTTCAAAGAACTTACTGAATAGTCTAGAATCCAATGCATGATATATGAGCTAGAGAGGATTTTGTAATTATTATATACATTGATTTTTACAAAATAACGCACAGACATAAAATAAGTCCTTATTCTTTGGCAAAACGCAATTAGCGTCTTGCACTATATATTTCAATTTCTATATAGACTTAAAAATAAACCGTGTAGGTTATAGTAAAAGAAAACAAACGAACAAGACTTACATCCACTTCCTGAGTCTGTTCTATTATAAGGAGGGTTATGTGAGGGATCAGGATTTGGCTCGTCATTATCCACATGCCTCTCATCTTGCTCCCGCTGCAACTCCCTAATTAGTCCATCGAGGATACTTCCATCATGGTTTTCGGTCTGCTGGCCAATTACTTGCTCCATCACCTCACCATTACCTTGTTAAAGCAAAACATACAATATATAAATATAAACCCCTTCATTTATAGTCAGCAAATGCCATTTACTTCTCTAAAAAGAGACACTATCCTTAAAAGTAAAGACATTTCAAAAGATTTAACATATATAACACACTCTATAAGAGAGGAATGTTGTGCATTTTAAGTTCAAGAATAATATGGCTTGATTTAATTGCACATACAACTCCCAAACCTAAAAAGAGTTAAAATGAACTGTTGCTGTTCAGCTCTTAGAGAGGCAAACAGGCATTGCTGACAGCCTTGTGTTTCACCCTACAGGGGTTTGGAGCACTGTCTGTGTCGGCAGAAAGAAATCTGGACAAAACTTTAACAAAAACTCAGAGGAAGAAAAGCTAGAAAATTTGTAAATGGATTTACTCATGGGTCGTCAACCTGGTCCCTACCGCCCACTAGTAGGACGGCAGGGATTTCCTCATTTTGAGAGATTGGGTGGGCAGGTGCGAGCCGGCAGTACCCTCATCAACATTTGTGGCCCTGGCCCACGCGGCAAACCGCCAGGGCCGCCGCCCAAGGGGTCCATCGGGTGGCCTATGCTGTCAGGGCCATCCGATGGATGTGGATTGTAAGGAGGCCCTGTCAGCGCTGGGCGCTTTAACAGCGTGACCGGGCCCCCTGTGATTACATCACAGAGCTGGGAGGAAGTGACTGTACGTCACTCCTCCCAACTAAAACACAAACCGCGCGGGAGGAAGCAGAGGGATTCAGAGGGGGAACTTTCTCATTAAACTTTATAAAGTTAAAAACATTATAAACATGCATTAAGTAGAAATAAAAAGATAAATGTATGTACACCCTCCTTTCGAAAAAATATTCTACACTTACGCGAAAACTAGTGGGCGGTAAGGACATTTTTCCATTAAGAAAGATGCATTAGTGGGCAGTAGGTAGAAAAAGGTTGACTACCACTGGATTAACTGATAATTTGTCTATGGTTGATCACATTTAGGTAATTATAACTTTTATTAAAGTACAGCAAAATGTTAAATTCCCTTTTAAACCAGCTCATACATAGCCATGTTTGTTCTTTTCTAAGTTAACTAATTAACAGCAATGTATGCTCTACATAAAATAAAAGGGAGTTGTGAACTCAAACAATGATGGGGTAATTTTCTAAAACTGATAGATACCAACAGAATGTTCCGATAATTGTTCGAGTTTTTAGAACTTTAAGGGATTCTATAATGTTGGAAATACAGATTTGTGTTACTAACACTATAGTGCCCTCTAGTCACCCCTTCTCCCCCCCTGTCCCCCTCTCATGCCCCCTTGTAGCACATAACAGGTTAAAAACCCTTTAGACACTTACCAGACTCCAGAAATTATCTCCTTCCGTGCTGGGTCTGGGCTCTGATATCATCTGAAGGGGGATCAAATGTGCGTGCGCGGTGTGCGCCGCCAGCGCATTAGGCCCTTCCCGTTAGGAAAGCATCGCCTTAATGCTTTCCTATTGGGCATTCGCCAACGCTGGTTGTCCTCATGCAGAGTGTGAGGATGTCGAGCTTCTTTAAACTGAGTCAAACTCTGTTAGAATCCAGGAGGCGCATCTAGTGGCTGTCTGACAGTCAGTAGAGGCAGTCTTAGTCCTGTAAAGTCATCATTGCAGTTTCTCTAAAACTACAATGTTTTACATTGCAGGAGTAAGGAGGACAGGGACACTGCACCCAGACCATGAGCTGAAGTGGTCTGGGTGCCAATAGTGTCCCTTTCATATGGATCATGCAAAAGGTGAACAGTAAGGACATAAATAGATAATGTTCGAAAAATAACTAAATATATAAAAATCCCAACAATTAACTTATCAGCATGTCTTCTTGCATTAAAACAACAAAACACAATACCATTAGCGATGTAGCCTAGTTGAGGGATGAGCTGTTCTTCCTTGCAATTCTCTCGCCCTGGCACAAGCCGCTGTAACCTTGTAGGGTGAGGGTTGCCATCTACATCCACAAGGAATGGTGGTGGCATGAGGTGTGGGGCTTGTTGTGTTTGTTCATCCAGCACATAGTTGTTGGCATCTCTGATTAGAGGTCGGAAGTCTGTGTGGAAGAACATTTGTTCCGGGATCTGCAGGTTATAAAATAGTCTGATGAGTTATCAGCATTAAAACATGCATATGTTCTACATTCAGCTGACATTTCAAAGCTGTGCCATCCCCCCCAGTCATACAGTTTTAGGCCACGGCTTTGTGTACACATGTTCTGATTCAGCAGACTGATTAGTCAAAACCAAGCATCACCATGAACTGACCAGGGAATTTCATTTATTAAGACATAGACAGTCAAACTAGAAAATGTCTTCAAATCCCCTATTTTTCCAGTTCAACTATTTTATCTTAAAAAGTAAACTCTCTTGTATGTTCTAGACAATTCCCCTTCTGGTGAATAACAATGCATGTATAAATCATTTAGACAGCCTGAGGCTGAATTTAAACAAAGCTCAAATAAAATGGCAGGTTTAGAGCTCCAAGTTGGCCAAACTTTGTTTACCCTTTCAAGACACCAGATTAGGTGACTCCGATAAGATTAATTAGAATTCAACCAAATAATAGTGTGGGGTCCTCTTAATGCACAGCATTCTAAGGGTTTGGTATGGTAAATGATCTATTTCACCAGGGAATTTGTAAATTAAATGTTCACAACCTACCTTTTCGTAAGCCTTACTGCAACCAAATCCAAAAAGTAAGAGGTGGCCGTGAGAGTCGGTGCAGGCAAAGTGCTGTCCATCAGGTGAAAACTTGCAGTCAAAAACAGCACCGTGACCTTGGCCTTCAATCTGCAGACAAGTATAGAGTTATCTTAAACACGAATAAAAGAATACCAACAACTGGAAATGAAAGGAGTAGGGGAGACCTCGCTTTTCTCTGTTACAGCTTAGCTATAATTGCACTCCTCAACAGAGTGAGTAGGAAAACAAAGAGTGATCCATGCTCCCACCTGCTAACATTTCCTTTACACAGGGTGCAGGTTAACACCGATATTACAGGTAAGCTAACTGGGTACATATTTTCTTAGTTTAGTGCACCACATCTCTTTCAATTAGCATATTTAAAATTATGACTTTCTAATCGTGTATATTTACATTTTCTTTTGTCATCTTCACTTCATGACTTATGTTCCAAAGAAATTCAGATGAAAAAATATATTTAAAACCAAAGAGCTCATATTTTGACTTACCATGTTAAAGTAATTTCGAATTTTTGTTCCTTTTTCTAGATCCCATACAAAAATGTTGCCATCATGCCCAGCAGAAAGTAGAATTCTGGAATCAAAAGGATGAGCTTCCAACACAAATACTTCATCATCGTGACCCTGGCGAAGAAAGATTTGTTAAAATAAAGTTGTGTTTTCTCGTTTTTTAAAACATTTCTAACCAGGTTAAAAATGTCCACATGCCACTAGCTATTATCAAGAGAAAAATTAGTGATAGCAAGTACTAGACACATACACCCTTGGTTGCAGTTGTGAGTAATTTTTTAAAGTCTGGCTAGTAGCATAAGATTACAAATTTTAGGCATTGTTTCTAGTATCAATCCTCCAGAAGAATACAAAGAGAAAAATGTTACACAGAGTCAAGGAAAAGAGCCATTTTGTCACATCCAGGGGATTGCGCAAAGTGAACAAGATCATTAAATATTGTTATTCCATGTTTGGATGGATAATAGAATTCTCAGGAAATGAAGATAGTATTACAAACTAATGATGAAATCATAGGAATAGTGCGTGTGTCCATGTATGTCCAAGTGAATATTTTTTAGTTAAAAACTTTTATTGTGTCATGTGTGTGGCACACCACTCCAGCATCAGAGAGATATGTGGGTATACAATCTGTTAAACGCATTAAATTACAACCAAATGCATATTATGACGTTCTTTCCTTTGGCAAACCGTTTCAAATTACTTAAAAACAAGATATATTCACCTGTTTTTTTTTCCCCATCAATTAAATACACAATTAGTCCATTTGTCCCATGTAACTGATGCCAATTATAGATTATGGTGAACAGCTTCAGGAGAATAAAAAGCAGGAGTAGATCCCAGAAATCTCTTGTGTGACTATATGAGCTTCATGAAAATATGTAAATGCTGCTACACACCCACCAGAGACTATTTTTAAAAGCATTCTACCTGCAGCCCTAGTCTGTCAGCTAAGACAACTTTTCCCCCACAGATCTACACAGAATACACAAAGTTCATCTATTTAAGAAATATGAACCCAGACGTTGGGATACTCACAGATAATACGTGAAGAAGCTGGCCACTGTGGGAGTGCCACACTTTTAAAAGGAAATTGTTCACTGCAGTAATGACTGAGCTATCGGATCGGTCCCATGCCACCATTGTGACTTTCAGCTTGGGAGCCTTGTCTTCTGCGCTTGTAACATTGGTCCTGTAAGATTACAACATTTATTGCAGAGTTATCTTTAAAAATACAAATACAATTTTATCAAGGGGAGACTTTTACAAAAACCTTTTAGATAGGAGCAATATATTCTAATAAAGCCTATGGGGCCGAGAAGTGCAGCAAAACTATGGAGGATTTGGATTATTTTACCAAAAATGTCCAAGAAATGAGAATACTAGACAGGGTGTGCACAATTCCACACAAGGTTTAGATGAACCCTATTTTAGAGGAATGCTTCTCAAACCTTCATGGACCAAGGTTCACTTTAATAAGCGAGAAATTCCCAAGGCACACTTATGTTTTTTTTTTTTTCTTTTACCGGTTTCAGCTTCTTAGAAATGTCACATTTATTTAAAGTCGTATTAGAGAGGTATTCACACTTCTAGGCAAATTAACATATTCACTGATTGACAGTTAAGAATTCCATAAATAGCTAAAAACACACACTTTAATAGCTCTTTTAAAGCCCATAGTTCAATGAGTTTGTAGCACAGTTTGATACGACTCGGCTAGTACCATCAGATCGCCCTGGGTAAGCTTTTCAGGTTTCTGATACTTTGTTTTTTCTTTGCCAAATCATAACCTCTATTGATCTATGTAATTAGGATTTTTTTGGAGGTTAAATCTATTATCTATATTTTAAGAGCTACATTATACGGTTTCACATAATGGATTATTATTATTTTTTAAAGAATTAAACTCCATTTAGAAATTGTGTCTGCTACCTTTATAAGTGTAAATTACAGCAATTTCTCTTGAAATTTATGTTTGTTTGGTCTTATACAAAATCATCACCTTTTGATTTTCACTATATTGTGTATTTTATTTGACATGTTTTTCCACTTGTTGGAAGATTTTGGACACCAACGATAAGTATTAACTTTTTTGAAGCACATCCCTTTTGTGCTAATTAATACCGTTGTTTCGAAAATCCCTTTAAGTTACTATTTGCTTTTAAAGAAAAAAAAAAAAGTATTTAACAGAAAAGTGCAACATAAAGCGTTTTCAACTTCCCCTTGCCAGTATATTCACTAAAGATGCAAAATGTACGCAAAGTAGAGGGGAATCATTTTTAAAAATCCACTAAATTCTCACTATTTAGTGAATAAACTCTCTCAAGAGGATTCTTACGGTTTAACCAGATTTCTTTAATTTACAGTGATTCACCATTTTGTCCCAAGGCCTGTCTGCATATTATACCGATATCCTTTAAGGTCACTTTGAAAATGAACATCTGTCTGATTATATTAATACCCAGTTTACTAAAGAGAAACACAGTATCCCAGCCACCATTCTCTTGCAATGTACTATCTCCTTTATTAAAAAGATTAACATCTGTCTGGATTTTAGTTAAAATGAATGCCAATGAGTTACCCTGCCATCTTAGCGGCCATATCCAGTACGATCATTTTCCATTCCTGCTGCTGGTATTGCCAAATCCTCGCTGTCCCGTCTCGGCTCCCACTGACAAAGCACAAGCTGGAAATTGGTAAAGAGTAAATATTAATGTGGATATTAGAAAAATGGGAGCAACCTAGCAACTTCCTTTGCTGAATGGGACAGTGGTTAACCCTACGGCAAACAAATGGAGATGGCAAGAAAATCTTATCAGTAGGATATTGGTTATGTACTCCACAGACCTCGCGTGACCCACAGAGACCAAATAATTTCAAACCACAGAATGTAAACACTTCACACAACACGCCATAGGCAATGTTTGTAAATGCAGGTAGCAACAGCTTACCTTGGTTTCTCAAGTGATTATTACAATCATTTCCCCTGTTATTATACTTGTGATATTAAGAAGGAAACGTGATAATCAGGATTAGGAAACATGTTTGCTTCAGACGAAGGGACAAAAGGCAAGTCAGTCAGACAGACTTAGCCTATTCTTTATACACTAAAGCAGAGAATGGGTCTGGCAAAGGAAATGTAAGGGGTTTAGAAGACAGGCTCTTCAATAATGTGTCACCTTACAACCAGACCTCACCCAGAGGTGAAGGAAATCCCCCTCAAAAACAGGATACTGAATATACTCCATATGCTCATCTACAGGTGATGAATGAAGAGATCAACGCTCATTAAAGTGATCATTTATTGTATCATCATCATTATTTAGAGCAATAAAAGCAGGGGATTCTTCAATAAACACAGTCCTAGAATAAATGGCATCTGTGGCCCTACAAGTAACCATGCAAGGTCGAGATGGGTACGTCCTGAGCCAGACGAGACCAGAGTTGTCTGATCTAGCACTATCTAGCTTCACCCTCCACAGAGTAGTCTGAGCACTATCTAGCTTCACCCTCCACTCGTGTTGTCTAAGAATAAGTATTGAGTCTGGCGTAAGCGTATTAAGTGGTTTCACACTTTTTCTTGTTGTCTGGTTCCCTCCTATACTGCATTTTTTGTTGTGATTAGATACTTTTTGCTAATTATTCCTGGTTTACTAGAGGCTCTTTTTTGGATGTTCTGCTCTGGAATTCACATTTGATTGTACAGTGACTCCAGTAAGGGGAATTAAAATACCAGCATGGGCTGCAGGAGGACCCAAATAAGAGGCCATAGAACCCTATCCCTTAAATGGCATACATTCCTCCCATCCACAGGAGGAGACTCGAAGGGTGCCCAGAAAAAGAAATCCATTCTCATGTGACTGTATGTGAGGTAGCACATAACTACCACATCTATATCTAGTGTGATCGACCAAAAAACCCAACAACACTTCAAATGTGAAATAAAACTATCTTTAAATTGAATATGAGACAGTATATGCCTAAAGCAACTTCGTCCCTAAAATGGATAAACCCAGGAGAATCTGCACAGAGAAGTTTTGTATTCTGATTGGGTAGTTTCCCACAATGCTGTGCTTCACGGGAGCTCTCACCATTTCACTAAATAAGTCATTCAATGGCCTTGTGCACATAAATAAGTAACTATCAGTCATACCAGCTTTACCTATTGTAGTACGAGACCCTAAACTGACTTGATAAATGTGACTACTGATTTTCACAAATTGAGATCATAAAAACTTGATAACTTCATGACATTTCACATTACACATCTCTACAATGTATGTACTAAAATACTCAAACACGAACTGTGCATTATTGCTTTTCTGAGCAAACTTGGAGGCCGAATATTTTATTAAAAAAAAAGAAATAATAATTTACTGTGGATTAAAGGACCACTCTAGGCACCCAGACCACTTCAGCTTAATGAAGTGGTCTGGGTGCCTGGTCCAGCTAGGGTTAACCCAATTTTTTCATAAACATAGCAGTTTCAGAGAAACTGCTATGTTTATGAATGGGTTAAGCATTCCCCTATTTCCTCTAGCGGCTGTCTCATTGACAGCCGCTAGAGGCGCTTGCGTGCTTCTCACTGTGATTTTCACAGTGAGAGCACGCCAGCGTCCATAGGAAAGCATTGTAAATGCTTTCCTGTGACCGGCTGAATGCGCGCGCAGCTCTTGCCGCGCGTGCGCATTCAGCCGACGGGAAGGAGAAGAGGAGGATCAGAGAGCTCCCCGCCCAGCGCTGGAAAAAGGTAAGTTTAAACCCCTTTCCAGAGCCGGACGGGAGGGGGACCCTGAGGGTGGGGGCACCCTCAGGGCACTATAGTGCCAGGAAAACGAGTATGTTTTCCTGGCACTATAGTGGTCCTTTAATGATCAAAGAGCAGAAGTTGATACTTTTGTAAAATGTCTGTCAAAGACACCAAGAGGTTTATTTCCTAAAAACAATAAACTGTAGTGAACCAAAAAAAAAAGAGCTGCTAAAATAGCCAAGCTGTGACCTAGCAGAGTTGGAGAATTTAGCTAAAATTAGCAATTTGGTTTTCAATTCACTGCTTAGCGAATAAACCTAAGTTGTTGCATCATTCCGAGCTCACTTTCAAAATAAAGCAATCTAAGACATTTTGGGCAGTCAGTGAACTCTTCACTTTCATGATTACAGAGCAGGGCAGTCAATACATGGCTGTCTGGTGGTGGCTGACTGCAACTCCCACTATACACGGCAACACTTCTTAAACAATAAATGACTGAGTTCCAGTTTAAGTCTTGGAGTCTAATTAGTGGACAACACTCTTCTAAAAAGAATCAAGGTAATACTGGACTTTTACATGCAAAGAATTACCCCTGCCCAATTCCCTTCCAACCAAAAAAAACTAACAAAAAACCTTAATATTTCCCTGAAGACAACAGATGGGAATAGAATAGCTCTCTTACTGAGCCAAAACAGAGAGGCCAGAAATCTATTCGTTCATCTCGCTCCAACGCTTAATGTAACACAGCATTAGCCTGGAGGTAGAGACCACTTTTCCAATTCAGAGACACTAAAGTAACGGTTTACGCCAAAAGACTGCAATTAAAAAGAATTCTGGCCAACAAGAGCTCACGGATACAGAATAAAAACTTAGATATGCTAGGAATATTTGAAAATAATTAAAAATAAAAAGGGGTTTACATAAAACAACTGCCACATATATGTTGCGAGGCCCTCAATTACCATATGTGAAGAGAAAGGACCATCTGGTATATGGATCCTTCAGGGGTCAGTTGATACAAGACATGCCTGGAGAGGGGTTGTCAAGCTTGGAGTGGCATGAATTTTCTGTATGTGTCTCTGTTAAATTGATCAGATCGTGAAGAGTCTCGTTTAAAAATCACAGTGGGGGAAATGGGTGAGGTCTATTGAGACTAGATTAAAAAAAACAAACCTTTTATTCACACTAAATTCAGATCATTTGTGCACAAGAACAAGACACTACTAGTGTTTATAGCTTCAATAGCCATATAAGATAGAAAAACACCCTAGATGGCACTTAACAATTGGCTATTTGAATGATGCAAATACCCCAGAACACTAAAAGATATAAACTAATAACTGAAACAAAGGGAGATATTTAGTCAAGTTTTCTGAAAAGTGTCTTTTTTGCATCGGGAAGGGGGGGAGGGATTAGTCTGCTCCATTCATTATTCTGTAACTTTAATCACTGTTACTTTTGTTTTATCTCATCACACAGGAATTCCTGAAAAAAATGCTAATTTTCCATTAAAATTTGCATTTGTCACAGATGTGTACAACAGACTCGTACAATGTGTACATGTCTAAATGATAACACAACATAGAGAAGGCTTTGTTCCTCTAGTCAGAGCGATCATTAGTGTAGTGAACTAAAAGTCGAATTAAAGGACCACTATAGGCACCCAGACCACTTAAGCTTAATGAAGTGGTCTGGGTGCCTGGTCCATCTAGGGTTAACCCTTTCTGTTGTAAACATAGCAGTTTCAGAGAAACTGCTATGTTTACCTTTGGGTTAATCCAGCCTCTAATGGCTGTCTCATTGACAGCCGCTAGAGACGCTTCCGCGCTTCTCACTGTGATTTTCACAGTGAGAAAACGCCAGTGTCCATAGGAAAGCATTAAGAATGCTTTCCTATGGACTGGCTGAATGCGGGCGTGGCTCTTTCCGCGCATGCGCATTCAGCCGATGATGGAAGAAGAGGGAGGAGAGTCCCAGCGGTGAGGGGAAAAAAAGGTAAGTGATTAACCCCTTCCTCCCACCTCAGCGCCACGGGAGTGGGACCCTGAGGGTGGGGACACCCTCAGGGCACTATAGTGCCAGGAAAAAGAGTATGTTTTCCTGGCACTATAGTGGTCCTTTAAAGTTCAGAAACATTCAGAGAACAAAAAAAATTACATTAAATAAAAAATAATACATTTTTAGAAATCACTCTAGTAGAAATTGTGACAACTACAGGGGAGTATGCTTCTAAAATCTGTACTTTTTCTATTAATTTTGAAATTTGATAGCTCCAACATTTTGTGAACAAACCCTTGTGTATTTTTTAGAAGGCAAGCACATTCTCACTGCCCTACAGAAAAATACAACTAAGCAAGCAAACACAATATAAGTGATAAAGTTCAGTCCCAATATTTCCGAGGTTCCATGCTTATGATAAAAGAAACAAAGGAAAGGACTATTGTTACTTGTTTAACTACTCCTAATTATAGCACTGATAAATGCACAAATCAGCAATACCCTCACTGGGCAAAACTAATAATGCCCTATAAAAATGGCATGTTCAGAAAATTGAATTACTAGTCTATATAAATGTTTAAAGAATAAAAACAGAAGAAGAATAAGAAGAATAGAGTTGATGTCCAGCTGCTAAGTATTTCCAGAAGGCAAATTTCAGTGCTGGTATAACAACATTAAATAAGAACGGCTTACGGATTCCAAATAAATAAAACTCTACTCACCGGTCTCCGTTATTGCAAAACTGAACAGCGACTACTTTATCCTGAAAAAAAGGACAGTGATTTGTGACCGTGTTACTACGCTGTGATAAGAACGTCAAGCTTCATGATATGCAAGGGTAGATTAATGTTATTAAGGAGATGCAGGCAGAATTTAATGTAAACTGATGACAATTAGTAATATGTTGGTTAATACAAAAAGATTTGAGACTGAGGCTGTTTTGGCACTTTTGCAATGTAATTTGATGTTTTTGCTGGTTATAAGGAATTATTTTGTGTTTTTGTACACATATTTTGGTGGGGATATTCACAGAGTTTTTTGTATTTGAAATAATGCCCTGCATGTAGCCCCTTACCAGATTTTTGGGTAACTTGTAGCATCAAGTTTGACATGCCTGTTTGGTAAAGTGAAACTGCTTGTGTCAAACTATTTCTAACCCTAACAATGCGCTGTTTAGGTCCCCAGGCTGACTGATCACTCAGAGCAAAACACAGTGAACACATACCCTAAGTGACAGGTAAAACTTGTCTTCTCTAATTGGCTTCCAGGGCTATCAGGGAACCCGAGTGCCAATCAATCACTACTGGTGTACCCTGATTATAAATCAGTGGAGAGCTGATCTTGGCATGCACTGCTGCAGTTGGATATCATCACCATTTACATAATTACACAGACATCACAACTGCACTCTAAAAAGACCAAACTGCTAATTTTATGCACGCTGCCTTACACTTCCCATTTCTTCTAAAGATCAACAGTGTTTATATGGGGACTTATTCACAAAACACACTTATAGTGAAATGCAAAACAAATTGCACAATTGATTTAAAAAAAAAAAAAAATCAATGGAGTTGGACAATAATTTACAATTTGGCTCTTTTATCCAAAAAATTAGCAAATGTAGTTCTCGGTTCTATAAAATGTGGTGTCTAGCGAAAAACCTTCTTCAAAAGGAGTTGTAACGTCTCTGAAAATTATTGTTCACCCCAGCATTTTGAACTGACGCTGTTACTGGGTTGTTAACTGTAGTGCAGGGAAGTAAAAAACTTTCATGCGAAGGTGAAGTCACAGCCCCATTATGCTCATGGAGTGGTCATATTTGGTCCCATATCAACAGAAAAAATGCCATACAACCACAGGCTTGTGCATTTCTTTAATAATGCTCTACATCTCACATGTGCCTCTTGTGTACAGGATAAGTTTGCACGAACAATATTATTTTAGAACAGTAGTAGGCAAGCATGCTGCTTTCAGTGAGTTTACCAAACTTAAATGTCTTACCAAATGCCCCTCCAGTTCTGCCAACTTTTCTGGTGTACCAGAGCCCAGGTAATATATCCTTATTACATGGTCAGTACTGCCTGTGGCTATAAACATACCACCTAAGAAACAAAACACCAGAGAAAGAGAGTGTAATCAGACACCAATGTCATTTTCAACAAACACGTGCAGATAAAGTTATAGATAAAATTATTAAAGGAGCACTATAGTGCCAGGAAAACAAACTCATTTTCCTGGTGCTATGTAGTCCTTAGGCCCCCCCACCCTCATGGTCAAAACCCCTTCAGCCACTTACCTTTCTCTATTGCATGGCTCCCTCGGTGCTGGGGAACTCTCCTCCTCCTGCAGAGATCAGCGCCGAATGCGCATGCGCAGCAAGAACCACTTGCGCATTCAAACCTCCCATAGGAAAGCATTACTCAATGCTTTTCTATGGACGTCAGCGTCTTCTCACTGTGAAAATCGCGGGAGCAGCCTCTAGTGGCTGTAAGGTAGATCGCCACTAGAGGCTGGATTAACCCTCAGTAAAACATAGCAGTTTCTCTGAAACTGCTATGTTTTCAGCTGCAGGGTTAAAACTAGAGGGACCTGGCACCCAGACCACTTAATTGAGCTGAAGTGGTCTGCGTGCCTATAATGGTCGTTTAAGACAAAAGTTAGGAGTGCTGGAATACGATACCCCTTAAATGCATTTATTTACTACTCACTGTCTGCAAATCTGCAGTCATTTGGCTAGCATAATGTATAGAAGACATCATTTGCAGATTAAAATGGTGCCTTTTCAGGTTATGCATGACAAATGGTTTAAGAATATGGAGAATTCCTGGGTAATTTGACCAGGTCATCAAGGATGCCCGAATAAAAAGGCACAAATTACAACACAAACTAATAATTTCAGCATGTACAGAATGGAAAAAAAAAAAAAATCCAGTGCGCTAAATTTGTGGTGGACTCTATAAAACTCAATACTTTTGATTATTTGTGACTTTGTAATGTTATGACATGTACCGGAGCTAAAGGAGGAACAAGAAATCTGAACGCCAGGTCTGGACCGCTCAGCGAACTTCACAGGGCGATCACTGCAGAGACAAAAAAAGGATTTTATTTAAGAAGGAAAGAAAGAAAAAAAATACTCACAGCTTGGCTTTTTTTGCCATTTATCATTAGTGAAAATTAGGAGTTCAGTGAATAGCCCTGTATGTATTAAATAATATAGGTGGATCCCGACCATTCTAATCGTACAGAGTTGGAAGTAGTAACAAACCTGACAAGGCCTCCATGATGTGCTAACGTTATCTGTATAAATGACACTAAGCTTCTCTGAGTAATGTAATCTTTAGGCCAGATAAAGGAGGAATAAGATACTGCAGAAGAGAGAGGCTAGCAGGGAGGTCTTGTGTTCTAGTTCTTAACCTTGAGCAGGGCCTGGGAATGTGGCTTCAATGGATACAATTAACAAACACTGATTCAAGCACACAAAGAAATACAAGGAAGCATACTCAAACGTCATCTCGTCCACATGCCACTGCCAGAAGCAGATTGTCGCATCAGCACCAGTAGAAGTGAGGTATCTAATTTTTCCTTTAGTTGCTGGACAAAACTGTGGAATAGAAATGGTTTATAGATCACATATTTCCAAAGGAATCTGAATCCTGATGTTTTGCAGGTAAACCGAAAATCAACAGTGAATTAAAAAAAACAACCCATATGGATAACACAGACTACATCTGGAAATAGACAGATTGCTCTTGTTGCAGGTATTTTTCTAGATGAGCCTATTCATTAGCAAAACCTGGTAATTCTTTATACACCTGTGCAATGAGGGATACGATGATTACGGGTAGAGGAGAATTCAGCCATGCCAATACCTGCAACACTTTTGGCATGGCAGAATTACTACTGACCCTGTTAGTCATACTGAACAGACTATTTAAAGAAACCTGTAAATATTCACTACTGCTGGCAGAAACAATGCCAATATGGATTTGTCAAAGGAAATTTGTCAAGGTGGATTTGTTTAACACGCCCATTGCGCTAAACAATTGACAAATTACTGTGTACCTATAATGCTCTCCTAGTGCCTGAGGTGTCCCTGTAATTTCAAAACTAGTCCGAAAATGGAAAAAAAATAAAAAACCTTTTGGAATCTTGACATGGTCAGTTATATGTTACTATGGTACTGAGCATAATATGATCTTTATATCACCTGTATGGAAGTGATTGAGGCTGTATGACCTTGTAGCACAGCTATAGGTGCACATGTGCGCAGACACCACACACGCACCACCTTGTCACAACTACCAGCGGCAATCAAGGTGTTCTCGTAATTCACAGCCATGTCTGAGATTTCAGCTGCATGCCCACGAAGAGTGGAGAGAAGTCGACCATCATCAGTGGCCCATATCTTTACAAGACAGTCATCTGATCCCTGGAATAAATGAGTTTTTAAGACATGATGCAAGTAAGCAATACAAAACAGAGCAAACAAACAGACTAGCTTAGTATTACAGGGGCAAACACCGATACAAACTACCATCCTGCCCCTCCCCAACTACCCCCACACTCTCAGATTGGTTACCACTACCACTTTAGCCTTTAACAGTTCAGCTATTGTCAGCTGAACCATACTATAAACTGCTTATGCAAAGACTTCATTTACATGGAAATCTCATGGATTTTCATACAAAGTTGTCTCAAGGAAGAATATATAGAAAATTAAATTTCTTCCCTTTAACAACTCCTCCAGAGAAGGCTCTATGCGAATACCAGGTTTGTGTCTCGTCGGAAGACCACGTTAGGTAAAAAGTGAACTAGTACAGGACCTTGTGGTTGCTACACAAATTCTAATATAGCATGTCAGAGGAATGCTGGCAGTGTGGGGGTGAGGAGGGATGTTGGGCCAGGTCTGCCATTCCAAACAGAACTGCTGTCACATATAACAAGTTCCACAATTTCCAAATATTAGAAATCTATTACAAACCATGAAGGATACAGTGCCCATCCTTCAGTACAGACAAACCAAACTTGTAACATTGCCAAAACAATGCATTTACATCCTACACTGTTCTCTTGTTATTGCTAGATTGTGAAAAAAAAAAAATATATATAATAGGAATTACATTAACATGCACATCATATATATATATATATATATATATATTTTTTTTAATCTATAGTCTGTGAGTGGACATATGAGTTATTTGAGCAAGAACGTACACATGTACACACATAGGATTGCTTAAAACCTCTCTCTGACTATGATCAATGAGAGCTTTTAGGCTCTTTTCAGTATCGAGGAACAGTTTTCTTCCTGGTAACGCAAATTTCATAAACAATTCCATGCAAAACTCAAACATGATTTTGTTTCAATCACATCCCTTAAGGGCAGTTCAGTGAGAAGTGCCATGATATACATTGATCTTATAATTGGCACTGACCGGAGACCATTATTGAAACTAAATGGTGTAATATCTGTCTAACAATGAATCTTTCAGTCCCAGAGATGGGGGACCTGTTTTGATTTTTATTACATACACACCAGGTTTGCATACATTCCTCCTCACTCTCATTTAGTTTATGGTTTTTGTTTTCAAATTACCATGGATTGCTCTAAAACATTATTTTTATTAAAAAGAAAAAATATTTTATTATATTTCAGCTTATGAAATTTTTACCATTAGCAGAACTTTGCATTTAAATCGGGCGGCCTTTGTTGCAAATTCTGCATAATCGGTTTTATTATTGCAGTCCAGTTTATCCACATTTACATATTTTCTTTTATATATCTTTATCTTGGAGACCATCTTTTGTCTCCAAATAAAAACGGACTGGCCAAACATTCCTAATTTCCTCTGTATTTACTATGCTGTGTATGAATGGACTGTTGTTGCTACATTACACCCTACACAAATGAATATGTAAACATGCTTTATATCCCTTTACATTGGTCAATAAAACCTTACTTGCTGCTACAAGAAAGTGTCCCAGTAACAATTTTGGCTTTGAACAAAATACACTCAGATTCTATTCTTTCACAAACTCACAGTAAAGATGCGCCTTCCACTGCGGTCAAAAGCCACACAGTACACAGACGACAAGTGGCCCAGAATCCTCTTGTGCATTTTCATTTGCTGGTAGGTTGGAACTGGGATTATGTGGCTGAAGCGTGCACATCCAGTAAGCTCTCTGGCTGAGATGACATTCACTAATGAAAAAAAAGAAAAAATTTTTTTTATCAGTTTATTTAAGCAATTAAATAGCAAGAGGAGGGTAGATAAATACCTTCCGGGGTAGATAAAATGAGTACCATTAAATTGGGTAAAAGTAACAACCCCTGGATGTTGGGCTAAGGTAACATCCCCTGGACGTACTTGAAAACCAGAGTAATCTGAATGTACCTTTGCTTTAAATACATAAAGGGAATCAACACAGTAAAGGAGGATACTATATGTAAAAGAAGAAAAACTACAACAACAAGAGGACATAGTCTTAAATTAAAAGGGCAAAGGTTTAAAAATAATATCAGGAAGTATTACTTTACTGAGAGGGTAGTGGATGCATGGAATAGCCTTCCAGCTAAAGTGGTAGAGGTTAACACAGTAAAGGAGTTTAAGCATGCGTGGGATAGGCATAAGGCTATCCTAACTATAAGATAAGGCCAGGGACTAATGAAAGTATTTAGAAAATTGGGCAGACTAGATGGGCCGAATGGATTTTATCTGCCGTCACATTCTATGTTTCTACGTTTCTAATGTACTACAAACTCCAATAATTGAGATGGCCAAGTATTATCGCAACTAAGAATCAACAAGATCTGGAGGCAGTCCTAAGTTAAAGTGGTCCAGTCATGTTATATGAATTTAAACCAGATAGGACTTTGTTATACAGTAGAAATGAATTGTTATGGGAATTGCATTTAAAAACCCGATAGAATGCTGAATCTTCACTAAGATTAGCCATTTGATTTGATTTCTCTAACTTGGGAACTTAAACAAGGTTAATAAAACAGGGTCACCTGGACACTCCCGAAAACTACTGTAAACATTAGCATAGGCAAGTGCGTTCTGTGATGGAGCCTGCCCAGATTGCACTAACAACTGGTGCAGGACTCTATGCAACTCCCACCCAAAATAGCCACTTCACACCCTTGCCTACAGCTCCATATGTCCATCTACCCTCTAGGCAACAAAGCGCTGATTTACCACCCAACAACATTCATGTTGGCCGGGAAAGCCAGAAGTGCACCTCTGGGAGATACAGGCAAGCCGGCAACGACTTCCACTCAGCCAGAGGTCTGGCAGAACTTTCTACAACTACTATACCTACACAAGGGCATATAGGAGAGGGCTAACTGGAGGTAAGGCAAGTCAGGTGGAGCCCCCTTCCACAAATACCTCTTTATGATAACCAGCACTTGATCGACAACAGCCTGGAACTGTACGTCAGTTTATTATTATGATATTTATAGAGCGCCGTCAAATTCTGCAGCGCTTTACAATGGGTGGACGAACAGACATGTAGTTTGACAATGAGCCGCGTCCTGATAACATTTTCCTCAGTAATTACTTAGGCCTCATACCTTCAATTTGTGCGCTTCTGTGAAAGCTTACTATTGGAAGCTGGTCCTGTCCAGGAATGTACATCTTGTAACCTCTTCATGTGGGGAAAGTTATGTTTTGAGATTCATATTGTATGGAGACCTGTTGTATCGAGTTAACTGAATTATCTCCCAGACACTGAGGCGCTAGGGAGTGGACCCATTCTTAACTAGGATAACCCCCTATGTGGAATGTTCCTAGAAATATGCCACCATGTCACAATAAAGCGTGTTATTTTAACTCTTCACCGACTGGTGTTTGGAGAAAGACTATAGTCACTTTAGTGATTCTTTTCCAGTAATTGGGAAACTTTTGCGGAGGTACTCAGCAAGAGTACAGGAGCTCCTTCACACCGTTCATTATATTATCAACAATAAGTGGTTGTCTACCAGAAAATTAAAACATTGCAAAATGAACGTTCCTCTTTAATAAAAATGACTTTTAGATCACTAACAAAAAGAAAATTACAGCCTAAATCTGCTGATAAACAGTCATACAATCTGATTATATTTTTGACAGGAAGAAAATATTTATTTTGCACTTTTCATTTTGTCAAATCTTACAACAGTCATCTTCAAAAATGACTTTCACATTCTTTAACCAAAATGCTTGAACTTTTGAAGTTTTTATCTGTGAATGCTACAAAATGCTCTCACATTTGAAGAAAAACAAACATTCAGAATAAATGTCCACATAAAGTGCATCTGTCATTGACAAAAGTGTCTTTCTAGACAAGAACATGCAATGTACACACAGTGCTACACGAACAACAGCAAATGTATTGTTTACATGACATTTCGATTTTCTTGTGCAATTTAGCCTACAGATATGCCATTTACAGAGGGCAGAAAATACAGCCACACATATTACTAATGAATAAATTATTTCAATTGTTAAAACCTATTTAGTGAACAGAATGAGAAACATGTATACCCGCAGTTACAACCCCTGCCAATGGGTTTGCATTTCATTTTTAGTAGGCCTCTATGGAGGGGAAAAAAAAATAAAAAGCACTTTACTTTTGTAAGGTCCAGGACAACTACCCAACTCGCCAGTGCAATGGAGACATGTCCAAGAAAGGTGCTTTTTACAGGAATTTTGCCACGGAGCATGAGAAATGTATCTGCAAGCTAATGCTACGGACAAATTATATAGATCCCTCTCCACAAAGGTTGCGAATTGACACACACACACAAAATACTGCATTTCCTGAAAACTGACATCTTGAAAATTCTAAAACAAAGTTCTCAGAAGAGAACTTTATTACGAGAATAAAAATAAAAGACATGACATACCATTAAAAAGCTGTCCCATACTATACATAGGACTAAGAGTATTCATTTAGGTGAAGCATATTATGGCATGAAGACCAGAATAACTGAATTCACATCATGTCCATCATTTGAACATAAGAAGTCAACTGATTCCCAATTATAAAACAAAGGATAGGCGGTGCTCATATACTAATATAACATCATGATTTGCACAAACCATGAACCAGTTAATTACAACCAAAACAGAACTTACCAATATTTAGGGGCCTTCCATAATTCACTGGAAGTTCCGGTGGTCTTCCCCTGTGTAAAGCTGCAAAAGCGGACCCTCTCCATGGTGTATGGCGACAATCTGGGGGTACATATCCATCACTTTTTATAAATATCACAGATTGCTCATTTTGAAAATTGAAAGCATACATATATAAAATAAAACACATTCCTGTTCTATCAGCTAATAACTAGTAAATTAATTGAACTTTGTTGTGATTTTATTGCATTTAAAACGTTTAAGATTCACATAAGAGCCTTTTTAAACACACAACGAAAATTTAAGCAGTTACTTGAAGCATTGTTTATTTTGTTTGTTTTTTGTTTTTTTTTTATATACACAGCACGCTTGAGATTTTATTCACACTATATTAAAGATACCAATGATGTCCCAATGATGTCCCAACTGCCTTTAGAAAATGCACAGCTAAGGCCATTAATGCACATAAACTTACATGTCCCATGACCTAAAAGGCAAACCCCCTTCCCAAGCATCCTGAAATCCGTCCTCCATGAGTTAACAGGTCGTTAAAACAAGAGGAAATGATGAAAAAAAAAAAAAGACAGTTTACGCTATATGCACATATGAGCAGAATCTTGAATGGGTCTCAGTTTTCATATCCTAGTGGAATTAATTACAAATTGAAATCGCTCATGTGTAAAGTAGAATAGGAATGGGACGATGATTTGCTAAATGGAAGTGCAAGTAAGTGAATTTATGTTCCAATTATTCTTGGTATATTTCTTCAGTGAAAGAAAGAAAAAAAAAAAAAAAAAAAAGGAAGCTAGCAGTTCTTGTTTAAATGGACTGACATGCTTCCTTGTTTCATCTGGCAAGAGGAGAAAAGAAATGGTGGCTTCTTCGTGCCTCTCATCCATTAGATAGTAATTGGGAGGAAGGGAAACGGGTAATTTCAATAGTAGATACTTCCTCATTGATTTCATTGGCTGCTGCTTGCACAATATATAGAAATAATAAACAGCACAGTAAAAAGCAAACATATGACGTTTATTCACAAAGCTGAAAACAGAAATCGAAACGGTAACATTTAAGCCAAAATAGAGCATATTGAAAAAGATTCTCCAACTAAAAGATGTGTCTATTTTACCCAGGTTTTCAGTTTCATTTAATAGTTTAGTAATTAAATCCTATGTTAGTTTATTCCCTAAATTAGAACTTGAAACTGAAAAGGGAATTCTAAATTTTAGGTTAAAATAGTTGCCCTTGCCATTCCTCCAATTCCATATTTAGATGATAAGAAATGTAACAGTGCTGTGTGTAAAAACTGTTTCAAAATGAACTGTTTTAACTTGTGTTATTAGTACTGTATAATATATTCACACTGAAAGAATTGTTACAATAATCATATCAACTACAGACCGTTGCAGTAGTAATGATGCCAGATGTACCCCGGCCTAGTTGCCCAGTAATGGGGCAAAATGTTTAACAATGTTTTACTCCCTGACATGGGTTACCGTTGGGATGGCAATGCACTTCCATTACCATCCATTGGCTGAGACCATCGGATGACCACTTGCAGCTAATGACTCACATTCTGTGCAATGAAATTTGTGCAGAATGGACACTGGTTGATGACACCGCAATGACACTGTTAGAGGTGGGATTACAACTCCTGCAGCCGAGGTGTTATACTGCATATTCGCAGCATTTTAAAGCGCAACTATGCACATACAGACTCCAGGTACCATGACCACATCAAATCACTGAAGTGGCCATGGTGCTTGACATAACCCTTTAGTATATAAACACAATACAAATAGATGCCTGATACCTGCTTGAATAAGAAAAGGGAACACGTTCTCAGTATGCTCAGGCAGGCCTAACTGGCCTTTCTGTGCAAGTGTGGCTTATAAAGACATCATAAAATGAGTATATAGAAGTGGTTTCCGAACTAGTCCTTAAAGAACGCCAATATTGTGTGTTTTCTTAGTATGCCCATTGGAACACAACTAATAAAAATGCATAAACCTTTGATAGTTGGCGTGCCTTAAATTGTGGGTTGGAAACTGACATGGATTGATAGCATAATTCTGTGTATTTTGATTGCCACTGTATTCTCCAAATCTGTGTCAGCATGCAAAATTAATCTATAGACAACCTAGAAGATTTTCATAAATAGACAAGAACAAAACACAAAATATAAACAACTGCAATTCTTTAAAACACAATAGTTATTGTCTTAGTCAGTTATACTAAAACAACCATTATTCACGGACTCTCACCCTTACCTTTAGCTCTTCTTAAAAGGGACTGTTTCCCAACTCCAAGAAGACTCTGTACACCAGGCACACTCTGTGGGATTTCCTGGTCTAGAATAGGCCCAATACGCTCACAGATTTTCAGCAGGTAGTCAGGGGGGATATGAACGTTTTCTGACACCTAAAATATGATACAATCATGTTTACAATAACTTAATTTTAAAGAAGAAGGTGGACAAAAAAAAAAAAATAAAAAAAAGAAGAAGAAAAAAAAAAAAAGAAACTTTTATTAAAGGACCACTATAGTGACTGGAAAACATACTCGTTTTCCTGGCACTATAGTGCCCTGAGGGTGCCCCCACCCTCAGGGACCCCCTCCCGCCGGGCTCTGGGGAGAGGAAAAGGGTTAAACTTACCTCTTTCTCCAGCGCCGGGCGGGGAGCTCTCCTCCTCCTCTTCGGCTGAATGCACGCATTCAGCCGGTCTCATAGGAAAGCATTTACAATGCTTTACAATGGACGCTGGCATCTTCTCACTGTGATTTTCACAGTGAGAAGTACGCAAGCGCCTCTAGCGGCTGTCAATGAGACAGCCACTAAAGGCTTTAGAGGCTGGATTAACCCTAACATAAATATAGCAGTTTCTCTGAAACTATGTTTATAAAAAAAAAAAAAAAAAGGGTTAATCCTAGAGAGACCTGGCACCCAGGCCACTTCATTAAGCTGAAGTGGTCTGTGTGCTTAGAGTGATCCTTTAAAGTAGATTTTGAAGCACTCAAAAAAAAAACAAATTCTCAGCTGGTATGCTAGCATCAACAAAAACAAAGTAGCACGTGCTCTATTTCAGCTGATCTTGGTTAAGCCATTTCCTTTGTATACCTCATTTCCTACACTCCGCTCTTTCAAAGGTAACCGTTTCACCAACGTAAGAAAGAAAGAAAGAATGAAAATGTGTATGCGTGCACCTGTTTAGCAACAGGAATAAGTGAGGCATGTCACGATTCAGTTGACTTAATTCTTCTTAAAATTCACTTTCCTTAAATGAACACCCTAGGTTAGAACTGACCCAATAATTTTTTATTTTTTTTTAAATACACACACACACACGATACTCGAAAAATTAGAATATCGTGCAAAAGTTCATTTATTTCAGTAATGCAACGTAAAAGGGGAAGCTAATATATGAGATAGATGCATTACATGCAAAGCAAGATAGTTCAAGCCGTGATTTGTCATAAGTGCGATGATTATGGTTTACAGCTCATGAAAAACCCCAAATCCACAATCTCAGTAAATTAGAATATTACATGCAATCAATAAAACAATGAGTGTGCATAGAACAATAATCGGACCTCTGAAAAGTATAAGCAGGCACTCAGTAATTGGTTTGGGCCCCTTTTGCAGCAATTACTGCCTCAATGCGGCGTGGCATGGAAGTTATCAGCCTGTGGCACTGCTGAGGTGTTATGGAAGACCAGGATGCTTCAATAGCGGCCTTCAGCTCTTCTGCATTGTTCGGTCTCATCTTTCTCTTGGCAATACCCCATAGATTCTCTATGGGGTTCAGGTCAGGCGAGTTTGCTGGCCAATCAAGCACAGTAATCCCACAGTCATTGAACCAGGCTTTGGTGCTTTTGGCAGTGTGGGCAAGTGCCAAGTCCTGCTGGAAAATGAAGTCAGCATCCCATAAAGCTCATCTGCGGAAGGAAGCATGAAGTGCTCCAAAATCTCCTGGTAGACGGCTGCGTTGACCCTGGACTTAATGAAGCACAGTGGACCAACACCAGCAGATGACATGGCTTCCCAAATCAACACAGACTGTGGAAACTTCACACTGGACTTCAAGCATCTTGCAGTGTGTGCCTCTCCATTCTTCCTCCAGACTCTGGGTCCTTGGTTTCCAAATGAGCTGCAAAAGTTGCTCTCATCAGAAAAGAGGACTTTGGACCACTGAGCAACAGACCAGGTCTGTTTTTCTTTGGACCAGGTAAGACGCTTCTGACGTTGTTTGTTGTTCAGGAGCGACTTGATAAGAGGAATACGACATCTGAAGCCCATGTCCAGGATCCGTCTGTGTGTGGTGGCTCTTGATGCACTGACTCCAGCCTCAGTCCACTCCTTGTGAAAGTCCCCAACACTTTTGAAAGGTCTTTTCCTGACAATCCTCTCCAGGCTCCACCTTTTCACAATATTCTAATTTACCGAGTTTGTGGATTTGGGGTTTTCATGAGCTGTAAGCCATAATCATCGCACTTATGACAAATCACGGCTTGAACTAGCTTGCTTTGCATGTAATGCGTCTAACTCATATATTAGCTTTCCCTTTTATGTTGCATTACTGAAATAAATTAACGTTTGCACGATATTCTAATCTTTCAAGTAACACACACACACACACACACACATGCAAACAAAAACTTTAAAATTAAATAAATAATAATTTAAAGAAAGCAATTAAAATTATTTTTATTTTGTATATAAAAGGAACAATATAGCGTTAGGAATACAAATATGTATTCCGAACGCTATAGTGCCCTAATTACCATTTAGGTGAATAGGCCAGCGCTGCCAGAGTTTTAAAAAGGCGTTTTACTTTTCTTTTTTTATGCCAGCCTCCTCACTGTAGCTCTACCTCTAATATCATCCAATCCAATGCTTTCCCATATGACACCCCATATGATGCTGCCAGAGATAGAATCACACTTTCTGCAGCAAAGGAGTTAGACTCTGTATGTGTAGTGTTTCAAAGCAAAAAGCTGCACATACATACTGTAGGCACTATGACCACTTCAAATCAACAAAGCAATATTTTTGGAGCAAAAAGAAAACACTGCAGGTAAGACCTACAGAGCATAAACAGAGGTGCATTCACATGACACTACATTTTCTCAAGCAAATTTGCCAACTATCACTCGACTCAATTCTCTAGCATTCAGCTAATAATATCCATCTAATGTTCAGAATATTCACCATGAAGTGAATGCTTTTATCAATAGTCAAATGTGTTATATTTGGTTAAATCATTCAAATTGTGACAACTAAACAGCATTTCCCTGCAGGTTGGCATTTAGTAAATAGCCAGCAATGTTTGTTTGTTTGTTTTTTTTTTAATGGAAAATAAACAAACACAAAATAAATAAGGATAACCTAACTCAGCAAAACTGGAACTGTACTCATACACCAAATATGCATAGCTATCAGGAGCCGCCACTAAGATACACTGCTATAAAAATCTGGGTATTGCTGTTGCATGCTTTCACATTACTTAAACCAATAAAGAGCTTAGCACTCGAGCTCTATAGCTTCCCTACACACTAGGAAGTCTAAACTCCCAAGTCAAAGCCCAAGAACAGACCCAAATGTTTGCAACAACATTATCTCACATTACTTTATATATTACCTGCAATACAATGTAACATACCCAGCGGATTTGGAAAATAGATCATGCAGGTGCATTAGTTATAGGTATTACTCTGCATAGGAAGTAATATAGGTCAACATGCTTGAAATACATACATTAAAAAAAATTCCTGCTCATAACAATGAGAAAGAAAAAAAATGTATTAATAAGATGAAGCCGCAAGAACATGTATCAAACAAAACACTGATTATTTGTGTCAGATTTGTCAGTGGGATTATTAAACCACATTACTGTGTTGCATTGTTTTTTGTTTTGTTTTCTATTTATTTTTACATTTTGGCTGTTGTATGTGGGGTGGGGCTGGGGGGGGATGTGGGATGGCTGAACCCCATATTCAGCCACAAAGACTTCATTACTGTCCAAATCTTTTATTTGGACTAGGGGAATATGGCATGCAAAGTGCTTAAAAAGAGAGTAAGATACTTGCCAAATAAAATAAACTGGATAAAAGATGCTTGCAAACCCAATCACAATTTTATATTCTTAACAGAAACAAATATTATGGTAAATATTATGGTAACAAAATTAATCAACAGAAGTCTCAGAAGACAGGAGAGTGCCGGATTGTGGTCAATATTAACTGACATTAAAAATAAAATAATAAAGCAAACTGCTCTCCCCACATTGCAGGTTCCTACTCTGCTAAAAAAAAAAAAAAAACCCGGCCTGGGAGGATGGCCAGCGATGGAGCACAGTGTTCCTGCTCCTCGCTTCTCCGTCGTGCGCGCCATCTGTAGTGAAGCCGGGCGCCGGAATATGACGTTATATTCCGGCACCACTAAACCGCGCGAGGGAGCAGATAGAAGATCCCCACTGGACCCCAGGGAGAGTTCCCACATCGGCTCCAAAAGGTAGGCAGCAATATAAGAAAATGATGTGTGTGCAAGAATGTGTAAGTGTATGTAAATGTGTGCGTGTGTGTCTGTCAGTGAGTGTGTGTGTTGGTCAGTGTTGCATTGGCTGCGACTGGACAGTGGAGTACCTGGAGGCACGCAACGCCACGTCACATTCCGACGTGACATCAACGTGCTCCACCTCCAAAGGGTTTCAAGAAGTAGCGAGAGGATCAGATTTGGAACAGGGTGTGGATGGCGCCAGCTGGGTTATTCCAGAGGCCGGACTCCGGAGTCGCATACTGGCAGCGGCAATGTGAGTGGAGTCTGCTTGTTGGCTAGAGGGGGGTGCTGGGATTTAGTAGAGGGGTGTGCTGTGAGATTCTTTATATTGTACTTTTCAAAATAAACCTATGTTTCGATGAAAATTTAAGGTGGTTTCTTTTTGCGGCCCACATAAACTTAAACCTTGTTTATGTGGCCCGTGCTAGACTTTGAGTATGACATGCTTTTCAGAAATTTTCATGTCCTCATCACAATGTATATGTTGGTTATTTAACTTATCCAGTTCATAATACACTTCAGATATGCATAATGCCTGGTCCTTGAAACTTTCAGAAGTTTTACCCAACACTCAGTTTAGTGGATGAAAGAAAATAAACTAGGAAATAGAACAAACTATCTGCCTAACTTCGGATTAAAGAGGAACTGTCTCTCCCTCACTTTTAGCATAACCGAATAGCTTAAACTTTAGCTTAGCCAAGGCTACACAAAGTATGTAAAGTAGTTAACTCTCAGTATTGTATGCATGATGAAAAAAATGCATACTAAATTTTTCTGAGATGCTTAATGCATGAGGCAACAACAGCTTAATTGTGCCCTTTTATGCCAACCTTCATCTCTGTAACCGTAAAAAAAGAAAAAGAAAAAAAAAAGTGTAAACTAAGAGAAAAGGATCAATAAGTGGATTTGTAGGACTCTTATTACACGAAAATGTTGAACATCTGTGAGGACCCAGCACCTTGGAGAATTGTGCCATGCAAATATGGACCCTAATTATATGCAACAGCTTTAGCAAGATAGATCAATGCAAAACTAGAAGAAAAAGCTCAATTTTGTGAACCATTCTAAAAGCTTTCATGACAAATGATCCTTTGCACTTTAACCCAAAATAGCAAAAGTTTTATTCATTTTTTTAATGAGAAATGCTATGCACATGGACTTAAATTGGACATACATTTTGCTGTGCAATGGTATTTATCAAGCAACAGAAAAATTAGGAATAACATAAAAAAATTACACTTGTTTCAAACGTTAACAGATTCTGTAGAATGTTTTTGTTTTATTTCAAAAACCAAACTTGTCAAATCTGTATAAATGGCTGCACAATACAGAACGCAGTAAAAAAAAAACATAACAAATGTCTGATCAGTTTTAGATTACGAATAGTCCATCTTGTGATGATCAAGGTTTATAGGGGCACTTTAAGGTACATAAACAATACAGTTAAGCTATTTCCTGGGATCAGCTGACAGACATATTACCTTTCAACAAATTAAGAGCCTAGGTTGTATGAAATGGACACTGATAATGTGGAAATGTAAATTCTATATTAACAATGCTGTTGAGTAGTGGGCAGTCTCTGGGAAGAGCCCCTTTTTTTGGTCAAAATGCTCCTGACTGGTTTGTGAAAAATGTAAGGGACAATAAGCAGAGACTTTTAGTCATATAAATGCTAGTATTAGCGGCTTTCAGGGCTACCATAGGGATGTACAAACAGTACTTGTGTAAGGAGTCCGCACAAGCCAATGGCTTAGCATGGGAATATCTCCCCAAGTAGACCCTAATGATGTTCACTCTCAAACCAGGTCCCATAATTAACAGCACTGCAGATCCACTTTCAATAAGTGACTGGCCAGGAAGATAAGATGTGATGTCTGAGCGCTTACTCCCAACACGCAGGTAGCCGAGGAGCGCAACAGGAGCCAGGAACCAGCTATCCCCTGACACTTAAGGCAGGGAAGCTTCATACAGTAAAAGAAGAGGGTGTCAATAAACATTGAAAATATATATTTTAAAGTGTGTGTGTGTGTACCCAGAGGTTGTGTAGAAAATGCAAAGTCTCAGATGGCAGCCCAAGCTGTAGTGGGTATGGAGTTTACACTGCCCTGCTTTAGTGTTCACACATTTTCTAAAAACAAATAAATACTTTGATACTGCTTGCAAAGAATTGTTTTTGTCCATAGAGTGCCAATATACCAGGAAGCCTAATTTAGTGGCATTCACATCATTATAATAAACGGAGATGACTAAGCAGACAAGAATTTAGATTACTTATAACTAAATATAGATCACTGACAATTTCACAAAGGGTTTGACAATTGAGCAGGATACACAGAAAGGTACACTGGATCAGGTGAAGCACTTAAAAACAAAGCAATAAATGTATACTAGACACAGTTATGGGTAACATTGGCACTGTAAATGTCTGTTAACTACATAATCATGTCAAGCAGAGCTCAGTCAGCCTTACCAAAAATGTACATCACAGAAATGTGAATTATAGTTGGCACAGACCTGAAGTGCCAATACTAGTCACCGATAATCCAACTAAATCAGAATACATTTGTGATATTGCCAAATCTAAAAAATAAAAAAAAACACATCACGAGAATGTTTGTCCCCTAATTAACAAAAGGCTACATTTTGGATCTCAACTTCATTTAATACAGCCCTGCAGGTTATAAATTGGGACGAACTGTGCAATATTCTGTGAAGGGATATTTTTGGGTTGTACACCAAAAACTGTGACTTGTCAGAAATTCAAAAATGAATTTCAAACTTTTGGCCCAAGATATCCAAACTGCAAATTTATCAGATTTATCTATTCTAGGCTAAAATTTCAACATTAATTTTGGATTTCCATCAATTTACATTTCAGTATATATGCCCAACATGTTTTCCCATTAAATAATGAATTGCAGTTAAACCCTCTAGATTAGAATGTAAGTTCATTTGACCAGAACCCTCTACCCCCTGGGATCCTGGGCGTCCAACTCCTCTGTTTACAAGCTCTTGTCTATTAGTCCACTTATTGTACAGCGCTGCAGAATTTGTTGGTGCTTTACAACTATTATTAATAACTGAAAACCAAGCTGCGAAATTTGAGCTACAATCGCCAAATCAGCTGTTTTGGTTTATATTTCGCCATGTCGGTCTCAATTCACTGTTTAGTGAATAAACCCATTGCCTATGGATATAATGTGAGCATGAAGTATACTCTGTAGCCAGGAACTACTCAATCTCCATTCCTGGGCTTTTTTTTATTCCAGGCCCATTTACCACAAGGAAGTTTAAATGTAACTAATCACAGAGACATTAAAACAAATCATTTAGAGTGCAGGGTTCAGGCTATAATTATTATGTGTGTATTATTATACACAGTATTTATTATATGTCTGGTTATTAGTATTATTAATTATACACAGTATTTATTATATGTCTGGTTATTAGTATTATTAATTATACACAGTATTTATTATAGGTCAGGTTATTATACACAGTATTTATTGTAGGTCAGGTTATTATACACAGTATGTATTATATGTCAGGTTATTATACACAGTATGTATTATAGGTCAGGTTATTATACACAGTATTTATTATAGGTCAGGTTATTATACACAGTATTTATTGTAGGTCAGGTTATTATACACAGTATTTATGGTATGTCAGGTTATTATACACAGTATTTATGGTATGTCAGGTTATTATACACAGTATGTATTATAGGTCAGGTTATTATACACAGTATTTATGGTATGTCAGGTTATTATACACAGTATTTATTATAGGTCAGGTTATTATACACAGCATTTATGGTATGTCAGGTTATTATACACAGTATGTATTATAGGTCAGGTTATTATACACAGTATTTATTGTATGTCAGGTTATTATACACAGTATTTATTATAGGTCAGGTTATTATACACAGTATGTATTATAGGTCAGGTTATTATACACAGTATTTATTATAGGTCAGGTTATTATACACAGTATGTATTGTAGGTCAGGTTATTATACACAGTATGTATTATAGGTCAGGTTATTATACACAGTATGTATTGTATGTCAGGTTATTATACACAGTATTTATAGTATGTCAGGTTATTATACACAGTATTTATTATAGGTCAGGTTATTATACACAGTATTTATTGTAGGTCAGGTTATTATACACAGTATGTATTATATGTCAGGTTATTATACACAGTATGTATTATAGGTCAGGTTATTATACACAGTATGTATTGTATGTCAGGTTATTATACACAGTATGTAGTATAGGTCAGGTTATTATACACAGTATTTATTGTATGTCAGGTTATTATACACAGTATTTATTATAGGTCAGGTTATTATACACAGTATGTATTATAGGTCAGGTTATTATACACAGTATTTATTATAGGTCAGGTTATTATACACAGTATGTATTATAGGTCAGGTTATTATACACAGTATTTATTATATGTCAGGTTATTATACACAGTATTTATTATAGGTCAGGTTATTATACACAGTATGTATTATAGGTCAGGTTATTATACACAGTATTTATTATAGGTCAGGTTATTATACACAGTATGTATTATAGGTCAGGTTATTATACACAGTATTTATTGTAGGTCAGGTTATTATACACAGTATTTATTATAGGTCAGGTTATTATACACAGTATTTATTGTATGTCAGGTTATTATACACAGTATTTATTGTATGTCAGGTTATTATACACAGTATGTAGTATAGGTCAGGTTATTATACACAGTATGTATTATATGTCAGGTTATTATACACAGTATGTAGTATAGGTCAGGTTATTATACACAGTATTTATTATAGGTCAGGTTATTATACACAGTATTTATTGTATGTCAGGTTATTATACACAGTATGTATTATAGGTCAGGTTATTATACACAGTATTTATTATATGTCAGGTTATTATACACAGTATGTAGTATAGGTCAGGTTATTATACACAGTATGTATTATGGGTCAGGTTATTATACACAGTATGTATTGTAGGTCAGGTTATTATACACAGTATGTATTATGGGTCAGGTTATTATACACAGTATGTATTGTAGGTCAGGCTATTATACACAGTATGTATTATGGGTCAGGTTATTATACACAGTATGTAGTATAGGTCAGGTTATTATACACAGTATGTATTATGGGTCAGGTTATTATACACAGTATGTAGTATAGGTCAGGTTATTATACACAGTATGTATTGTAGGTCAGGTTATTATACACAGTATGTATTATGGGTCAGGTTATTATACACAGTATGTATTGTAGGTCAGGTTATTATACACAGTATGTATTATGGGTCAGGTTATTATACACAGTATGTATTGTAGGTCAGGTTATTATACACAGTATGTATTGTAGGTCAGGTTATTATACACAGTATGTATTATGGGTCAGGTTATTATACACAGTATGTATTGTAGGTCAGGTTATTATACACAGTATGTATTATGGGTCAGGTTATTATACACAGTATGTATTATGGGTCAGGTTATTATACACAGTATGTAGTATAGGTCAGGTTATTATACACAGTATGTATTATGGGTCAGGTTATTATACACAGTATGTATTATAGGTCAGGTTATTATACACAGTATTTATGGTATGTCAGGTTATTATACACAGTATGTATTATGGGTCAGGTTATTATACACAGTATGTATTGTAGGTCAGGTTATTATACACAGTATGTATTATGGGTCAGGTTATTATACACAGTATGTATTGTAGGTCAGGTTATTATACACAGTATTTATTGTATGTCAGGTTATTATACACAGTATTTATGGTATGTCAGGTTATTATACACAGTATGTATTATGGGTCAGGTTATTATACACAGTATGTATTATGGGTCAGGTTATTATACACAGTATGTATTGTAGGTCAGGTTATTATACACAGTATGTATTATAGGTCAGGTTATTATACACAGTATGTATTGTAGGTCAGGTTATTATACACAGTATGTATTATATGTCAGGTTATTATACACAGTATTTATTATTGTTATTGTTTCCCAGAAGCAGTAGTGCCTGTATTATGAAGCTGGAACCAATCACCTCGCAGCTTCTATCCGCCGACCACTCGGAGACCGATAGAAGTCGCCGCTCTATTGGCTACTCGAGGTGGTGACGTCACTCCCGGTACGTGCCCTCAGATAACCCCCATTTTTCACAATAGACGGAGAACAAAAACACGCCCCCCCCCAGCCCGGTATAAAGCGTTCCTCCTCCTCCCCCCCCCCGCCCGGTATACCCGGTTATCACCGCGTTACATGTCCCACCGTGAGCCAGCCCCGGGGCCGGTACTCGGGATCGCGCTATACACACAGTGTCCCCAGTTTACTCACCAGGTCCTGATATGTCCGCGAGTGCCGCTTCCCCTCCCAGTCCAGGCGGGTGCAGGATCAGCTGGGGCAGAGAAGGCGGTCAGGGCACAGTCAGGGGCAATGCATGGGCAGGGACTGGAGCACCGGGGGGAGGCAGGGGCAGGCACCGGGGGCAGGGCAGGGACCGGGCACCTTGGGGGCAGGGACCAGGCACGGGGGAGCAGGGACCTAGCACGGGGGGGGGAGGGCAGGGACCGGGCACACGGGGGGATACACAGAGGGACCAGGGTGGCACGGGGGCCGGATACACAGAGGGAGCAGGGTGGCACGATACACAGAGGGAGCAGGGTGGCACGATACACAGAGGGAGCAGGGTCGCACGATACACAGAGGGAGCAGGGTGGCACGATACACAGAGGGAGCAGGGTGGCACGATACACAGAGGGAGCAGGGTGGCACGATACACAGAGGGAGCAGGTGGCACGATACACAGAGGGAGCAGGTGGCACGATACACAGAGGGACCAGGGTGGCACGGGGGCCGGATACACAGAGGGACCAGGGTGGCACGGGGGCCGGATACACAGAGGGAGCAGGGTGGCACGATACACAGAGGGAGCAGGGTGGCACGATACACAGAGGGAGCAGGGTCGCACGATACACAGAGGGAGCAGGGTGGCACGATACACAGAGGGAGCAGGGTGGCACGATACACAGAGGGAGCAGGGTGGCACGATACACAGAGGGAGCAGGGTGGCACGATACACAGATGGAGCAGGGTGGCACAGGGGGCCGGGTACACAGAGAGAGCAGGGTGGTACAGGGGGCCGGGTACACAGAGAGCAGGGTGGTACAGGGGGCCGGGTACACAGAGGGAGCAGGGTGGCACAGGGGGCCGGGTACACAGAGGGAGCAGGGTGGCACAGGGGACGGATACACAGAGGGAGCAGGGTGGCACAGGGGACGGATACACAGAGGGAGCAGGGTGGCACAGGGGACGGATACACAGAGGGAGCAGGGTGGCACGGGGCCTGCATACACAGAGGGAGCAGGGTGGCATGGGGTCTGCATACACAGAGGGAGCAGGGTGGCACGGGGTCTGGATTCACAGGTAGAGCAAGGTGGTTCATGGTCTGGATTCACAGGTAGAGCAGGGTGGCTCATGGTCTGAGAACACAGGGGGAGCCAGGTGTCAAAGGTCTGGTTACACAGTTTGAGCAATATGGCACAGGGACTGGATACACAGATTGAGCAGAGTGACGAGGTAGCTTGAGAAACCAGATACTGCACATGGTCTGGATCCACAGAGGAGGCAGGGTGGCACAGGGACCGGATCCACAGAGGGAGCAGGGTGGCACGGGGCAGCATTCACAGTGGGAGCAGGCTGGCACAGGGGCCGCGTTCACAGAGGGAGCAGGCTGGCACGGGGGCCGGACACACAGAGGGAGCAGGCTGGCACGGGGGCCGGACACACAGAGGGAGCAGGCTGGCACGGGGGCCGGACACACAGAGGGAGCAGGCTGGCAAGGGGGCCGGACACACAGAGGGAGCAGGCTGGCACGGGGGCCGGACACACAGAGGGAGCAGGCTGGCACGGGGGCCGGACACACAGAGGGAGCAGGCTGGCACGGGGGCCGGACACACAGAGGGAGCAGGGTGGCACGGGGTGTGAATTAACAGTAAGCAGGGTGTGGAATCAGGGTGGCACACTTTCTGAATCACAGGGTGGAACTGGGCCTGGATACACGGGGGGCAGGGTGGCACAGGGTCTAGGTACACTGATTGAACAGGTTGGCACAGTGTCTGAATACAGAGGGGGGGGATGCAGTGAGGAACAATGACTTGGTAGTTTGAGAGACCATATACTGCACAAGCTAGGGATACACAGATTATGCAAGGATGGCACAGAAACTTGGTACATAAGAGACAGGATTTAGGTAAATAAATCACATTTTCACTAGGGAATCATTCAGGGTACAAGGACCTCAACACAGGGAATGGGCATGGAAAGGATCACACCATCAAAAAGGGAGGTGGTCAGTATAGCACTGGGTAGGATGGTGCAACAGATTGGGTGCAGAGATTGTACCAGGAACTGGGCACATAATGCAATCAGCTGCAATGTACAGTCACAGTGCAGTGTACAGGGAGGGATGCACAGAGTGTGTCTCATCACCAATATGTAGAGACAGAGTGTGTAATCCACAAAAGCAGAGAGGGTAGGGGTGGGCAACAAGCTGGGGAACAGGGATGGGTCAGAGATTGGTTACATAAAGCAGCTATTTAAACTTCCAGTGCATCCATGACTAGCTTAGTACAAGGAAAGAGCACAGGGTAAGTCAGCATAGTACAGGGATATCACAAAGACTGTGTACAAATGGTACAGTCAGGGTATGGTGAGAGAGGTTGGGGTAAAAAATAGGTAAATCATCACAGCACAGTGTAAAGCATGGAGATGGTATAGTGAGAGCAGCACCAGTTTAAATACATTTAAAAAGATACTGAGTGTCTGAGGTTTGAGCACAGGCAAGACTGTACTGCTAGTTAAATAAGGAATGGGGGCAATTGAATCAAGTAATGAAGGAGGGTAGGGGGTAGATGAGGGCAGAGAAGGCACTAATGGGGGCATCACCCTCAGAGGGTATTCGAGGGGGGTGGGTACAATAATACAAGACTAGGACAAATACAGGACATATGATAAAGGAGGGTGGAGCAATCATGGCTAATCTCTGTCACTCCAGATGTTGTTGCCTACAACTCCCATGGTGCCTAAACAGCTGAAAGAGAAAAGTTGTGGACTAGAGCTGCCATGAGTTAAGCCAGCCATGCTGGCCGAGCCTGATGGGCCTGGCAGTCCTTCACAGCTGGGGTGCCAGATATTAACCATGAGCATGCTGTGTGGGTAACAGGAGGGGTACAGGGGTACTGAGCGGCTGTGGCTTTAGGGGTACAGTGAGACACCCACCCTCCAACCCAGGGGTACTTACCTGGTGCTCCTCCAGCTCCTCCGCCAGCACCTGCGGAGACAGAAAGTAAGGGGTGTTAGTGGGACCCCCAGAGTGAGGGTGGGACCCCCAGAGTGAGGGTGTGAGAGGGGGACCCCCAGGGGAGCACAGTATTGGGGTACTTACCTGGGCTGATCTCCGGCAGGGTCCAGACTGCAGGTAGCGGGTGATCAGGAAGTAGAGCTCTGCGGAGAGACACAGTGTTAGTAAATAAGGCGATAAGGGTGCGAGGTGGAGGGGGAGACCCTGCTTTACACACCGGCTTCCATGGCGCTGCCGCCGACCCGGCAATCCCCGGCTTCCTCCAGCCCCGGCTCGGCTCTGTGGCTCCGCTTTGGCGGTGATCGTGCCGAAGCCTCCATCGAGGCAGCCTCCTCGCCCGCATTCACCGCATCGCTCTCCCCCCCCCCAGTCAGCCGGCGCTCCGGCCCGAGAATAGGAACACACAGAGACAAGGGGACTGGAGACACCGCTGTGACGGTCCGCCGCCGGAGGGTGGCGCTGCAGAGGGCGAGCCCGGCGCTCTAGCACGAGGGAGACACTCTGTAGTGAAGACTTAGAGAGCGGGTGGTGCAGGAAGCGGATGTTGGTTGGAGAAGGGGGCGTGGCTAGGTTGAGTCCTGCGCATGCGCAGTGTGTTCGGTGAGGCCAGGCTGAGCAGCACTCTCCCTGCGGCTATAAAAGCTGTGAGGGCTGTCTGAGAGGGTGGGAGTGTGCCAAGGGCATGCCAGCTGTGTGGCTGTGCTTTCAGAGAACACTAAATAATAACACTAAGTCCAGGATGTCTGCCTATTGAAAGTGATTATATAAATTGGATTATTGAGCATTATGGGAAAGATACCAGGGGGTATTCACTGAAGTCTGAGGCTGTTGGGATTCAATTGATTTTTCACCTTTTAGGCTAAAGAAATGTAAATAGTTCAGAAAATGATCCCTAAAGTCTGGAATTTTATTCATACAGCTGTTCTGTCAGTCTGGTCACTAAATCCTATCTTATTATTATTATGTTATTATTTATATAGCGCCAACAAATTCTGCAGCGCTTTACGATGGGTGAACGAACAGACGTAGTTGTAACCAGACAAGTTGGACACACAGGAACAGAGGGGGTGAGGGCCCTGTATAATGAGCTTACGTGCTACAGGGAATGGGGTAAAATGACACAAAAAGGTAAGGTAGCATGTAAGCTCATTGAGCAGAGCCCTCAACCCCTCTGTTCTTGTGTGTCCATCATAAATCAATGTAAGGAAACAAGCAACCATTAACCTAAAACAATCAAGTGGAGAAGAACCAGTTGAGAACATCCATAAGTGTGTCTACTGACTTACATTAGTAGAAGACAACTGGGCATGGGAAAAAAACCCGGGTGGGAAAATATTTGCCTCCTGTCATTAATAAAATAAAGATTATAGGTGCATTAAAGTTAACATAATCTACAACTTTATTACATGACAGGAGGCTACATATTTTGCTGTTTTAACGCTTGGACAATAAAGCGAGAGAAGCATGGAACGATGGCCGGAAATAGAAATGACGAAAGGTCCATTCTCTAGACCAATCTGCGGAACAGAGGATGTCCTGGAGGGACGCACCTGCACTGAAGGCTCCCAAAGCCGCAGCCCCTCTGACCGAATGGGCTACGAATGAGGGATCGATACCCAGCAGGGAGAGTAATCATCTGATCCAATAAACCAACATGGTAGAAGAGACGGGGCCGTGAGGGCAGACATAGGAAATCAGGAGTTGACCTCCTCAGGCGGAATGTAGAGACGAGGTAGCATCAGCGTATCTTGAGAGGGCCAAAACCACACAGAGTTTCGGGAAGTCCCTGAAGTACGGATAAAAGACCATGGACGAATCAGATTTTGTGTGTCTTGAGTTGGAGAATTAAACTCCTTCCGGGGAGAAGGTGAATAAATCGCAGTCGAAAGCTCTAACGTCTGATACTCGGCAAAAGCAGACCAGACATAATAGATGGGGAAACTTTGCTGATAGCTGGCGAAGGGAAACTGCAGTTTCTAAAAGGGGAGGAGTTGGCAAATAGTCTGACTTGTGGTGCGCCGCCACGAGCCAGCAAACAAATATCTGAATTCCGACCTGTGGGGACACATGGAAAAAAAATGGGCGCTCAGATCTCGCGCTACGGCGCAAAATCCAAGATGGCCACCAGGAATGAGCAGGGCTCGACGGAGGCGTTCTCCACTAACCCAAATATATTAAAGACTGCTGAGGTCCCGGTGATAAAACCAAAAGAAATATGCAGGAATAAACTGAAAGAAATAAAGCGAAAGTAGAAAAAAAATAAGGAAAAAAAATACAGCGAAAATAAATAAATACATTGAAATAAATAACGCTACAAAAATACACCCTGAAATAATAAAATGATACCAATGCACGTGAATTAATTAGAAATAAGTAACATTAAGTAAATGTAGTAAAAATTAAGTAAAAAATACCACAGAAAAACACAAATGTAGGAGACAGTAGCACTCTGACCTGTACTGATGTGGATAGCAAAGAAAGAGGGGGAGTGGCTTGGAGAGCAGAGTCTTATACCGTATTACTCGTTTTTTTAAATTGGTTCTCTCTGTTTCTATATTAAACTGTGCTGCTGTGGAGCTTAAGTAAAGAGAGACTTAAGCAAAATATGTTAAAAAAATTCTTTTGGAATTTTCACGTTAGTAAATAACCCTGAGAGAGTTGTATAAATGATGCAGTGCCGTGATCATGCATACTTATCTCTGCACTTAGAAGAAACTAGAATGGAGCTATCAGTCTGGTGATAATCGCATTCTACCGTTTGTTTCATCCATGAATATTGTGAATGACACCATAAACTTGGCACTTGCTCATGATTATTTTTATGATCCTCTTATATGACCAATATATTCCGCACTGCTTTACAACTTTACGGTGGGGGTGCAGAATAGCAAGTAATTGACATAGTAATATTGACCGAAACAAATGGGTGATGTTCACGTGAGCTTACAATCTAATGCATCCAGAGAATGTTATGAAGGAGTCTTATCTCCTAGAGAAGTGAACGCTTGTAAGATCTTGAAAAACTGTGGGACAGGGGCAGAAAAACTCCAAAATGCCACTAGCATAAGTCTCTGAGCACAAATAAAAAAAATATCCCCGAGGAGACTGGTCGCGAAGCATACGAACTCAAGATCCAGTAATAAAACAAAAAATTAAATAATTCCACTGCAAGCGCTCAAAATCCACAGGAGGTTTAGTTAGCACTAAACAAAAGTAACAAACAGGGGCAACTCCTATCTTGTCTAAGGACCTGTCGGTCTGAAACGCGTTTTTGATGTGACCTTTCCCCTTGTTTTGCGCCGAATAAACCTCCTGTGTACTTTGAGTGCTTACAGTGGCGTTATTTCTATTTTTTTGTTTTTGCTTGTAAAATCTTTCTGACTAACGCTACGCCTCCTTATTGCAGCGAGAGAGCGTGTGGTCTGTCGCCAGATAGGTGCAGATCGGTATCCATCCAAGACAGATGGAGCATCTACAATGATCTTCTGTGCAGACCACAATCTCATCACATTGGACCAATGCCCCACCTTACCACCATGAAATTGGGATCAAATGATCCTTGCCTGCCCAAAGGTAAGCAGGAGTGGGCAAAGAAATGCGTAGGTTGGATACAACTAGCACAGCCTTCCCAAACACATCCACCCCCACATGCAACAAACACACATTTATGTAACACCACGCAAAGCCATAAATTCACACCTACACAGTCATTCCACACACACATACAACGCATACAAAGCACTCAACAAGACCATAAACCACACACACAGACCCCCATAGACACAACACCACAAGAAGCTTCTCCACACACAATCTTCAACACGCTGACAAAGCTAGTATGGAAAATGTTAGAGGGGAAGTAAGAGGAAAGAGATAGAAAGTAGACAGGAAAAATATATCGAAGATAGATATTGTGGTGGTAATGGTGACCCTGTACTAATTTTTAGCTATATGTGTGTGATCTATATGTGTGTCAAAGGTGTTACAAATGTGCCTTCATTGTTTCTGAGCAATATATTAGAAGCTTGTTGATCAGAGTACACCGCACTCTGCATCATATCTGTATACACCTTGTGCACTATATTCTATTTTCTGACATTAAAAATGTACACTGTAAAATAATATGGTAGTATTTGTAGCAGGAAAGGTACACTTATCTTTTCTGTAGCCTTCATGCACATCCTGGGGCTAAATCTTACCCAACTTGTTGACACATTTTTATCAGCCTGAGTTTGAATTAGTCCTGTTGGAAATCACAAATTTGTCTAAACTATTTCAATTAATATGGATGTCATGGTCTGAGGTTTTTATATCTTGCATACGCAAGAAAAAGCAATGCATCAATCTCAAGCTGGCCCTGGTAAAAGACCATTATTCCAATGCTGTGGTGCTCCAATGCTAAAGAACTATCCAGTGTTCATTTGCAGTTCATTTTATCCAGATGCATTGATTACCGTCACATATCTACTGGTTTCTTGTTCACAAGTAGGCCACTGGGTTTCACCTATCAATAAAATCTGACAAATATAGTTTAATTATATTAAAGGAACACTATAACATTATGGTTGGTTTAGTGTAGAGTTAGGGTTAGAGGTAAGATTAGGATGGGCATACAGTTAGAGTTGGTGTAAGTGTAAGGTTGGGGTTATGGTTGCTATAGGGTTAGTGTTAATTACCAAAACATATTTAAACCCTAGACATATAACAATCAGGACTGATATGTGAATCTATTTTAACTTGTTTTTTTTTTTTATTTGCACTTAATGTGTAAAAGTTATAAACAACATTTTTTTTTTCCATTTGTAACATTTTATTCATACTTAATCTTGTGTTAGGTATACATATAGGATATTAAAATAAACAATTTCTATCCATAAAACCAACAATATGTAATATGTATGGGTGCCTGTAAAGAGAAATCCTTAAATTATGGTTGAACAAGCACAGCACAAATTCTAGGTTTTGTTTTGGTTCAGAATTTGGACAATCAGTTGGACAACCATTAAATCCTTAAGGGGTTAACTCATACATGTCAGAAAATAGAGCAGGGAGACTACAGGGTTATGATCTACACACCAAAACTTAATTAAAGGGACACTATAGTCACCTGAACAACTTCAGCTTGATAAGGTTGTTCAGGTGAGAACTATAGCTCCCTGCAGCCTTTCCCATGTAAACACTGTATTTTCTGGGAAAATACAGTGTTAACATTGAAAGCTAGGAACACCTCCAGTTGCAGTCACTCAGAGTGAACCAGAGGGACTTCTGAGTTGATGGAGGCATAATATGCCTCCATCCACTCAGATCTGCTGTGCACGAG